ACCCCTGGCTACTCTGTCTAAAGTGCAAATCCTCCCCATACTCTTGATTTCATTACCCTCTTTTGTTCTCCTTTTAACAGTTATCACTCTAAGTATCATATTCAGGACACAAGCTACACCATAACAGGAGTTTAGTTTCTGTTTGTCACCACTGTTCCTAGTGTAATGTGGGACTTACAAGAGCTTGTCTGACTTATGCTATCAAATTGTTTCTAACCTAGGGGTGATGTGATAAAATGAATAACAATGTATTTTGAAATTGGCCTTATGTAACAATGGGCCTTGATTATATCAAGGTCTGATCTGAGTAAGCATTTTAAATCCTGTTTCTTAATAGCACAACTACCAGACATTGTTGGTTGTCAGCTAGGCGTTGATACTATACTGGGTTTGGGCAAAGAGCTATGAACAAGATAGTTTCTACATTTGTGAGCTCACATATTAATACAATAAATTAATGGATGAGCCAATCAACTGTGACTGAATATGTCGGATAAAAAATGCATTTCAAAACAATGGGAAGGAGGAAGAATGGAAGCAAGGAGTGCCGTGTTTCTTCTTTCAGAATGTTTAAATAAAAAAAAAACCCAAAAACTATACAGATGTTTGACAGCTGCATCCTTGTGATTCTGATGCTTCTATACTGCAGTTGGTCCCAATAATTACAACCTGAATTATCCCTTTCTGACATTCCCAAGAGGCAATTGCTTAATTTGCCTACTGAAAGTCAAGACATTAAAATCCAATCAGGAATGATTACAGATGTGACCTTAAAGCCTTGCAACTTTTTAGCTACTCCAATACAAAGCATGAGTCTAGGACAGGAGTCTTCTTAGCGTAAGGACACTAGATAAGGAGCTTAAAATTCAGAGTTTAAATCCCAGTTTTAGCTCTCACTGACTGGGAGGTCTGGCTGATCCATTTTGGTACAGTGGGCATCACAGATGCCTATTTCAAAAAGATTATGAGCCTGTAATCCCAGCAGCTCAGGAGGCCGAGGCAGGAGAATTTCAAGTTCATAGCCAGGCTCAGCGAAAGAGAGGCACTAAGCAACTCAGTGAGAACCTGTCTCTACATAAAATACACAATAAGGCTGGGGATGTGGCTTATTGGTCTAGTGCCCCTTGAGTTCAATCCCCCAGTACCTCTGCCTCCCCCAAAAAAAGGTTACAGAGAGGATCAAAGTAGAAAATGAACATGTGTTCTTTGTACGTTATAACTATGTAGAAATGTAAGGTGATTTTTATGACTTCATTTTTCTTCAGTGCTGGATGAACAATGATAATTGACCATTGAAGACTGAATCCTATTAACTGATGATCAGGTAAATAAATTATGACACAATGGAACACAGCAGAACACTACACAACCGTCAAAAGAACAGGATAGCGCACTACTTCTGGACACAAAGATGCATGATATATTAAGGAAAAAAAGGTAAAAATATAGTTCTATCTTCATATACATACACACAAAGAAATCACTTGGAGGACACTAAACTATTGGCAGTTGTTTTTTTTTTAAGGGGTTGGAATGGAATTTGAGATACTCTTTGTTGGTTATATGCAGATTTCTTTCTTATGCTTTAGGTTGGTACAATCTAAGCAATTTAAGAGATTTTATATTCACAACTGGCAAAGTAAACCTAGCTCCCCTCTAGATAATTTTCAGATCTCATCTCAAGTCTGACTTTGGTTAATATTGCTTTGGAGAATGAGCTTAGCTAAACTGGGAGCCTGAAGAGGGATAATGAATAATGAAGGAGTTCTCAGAACAGCCTACATCGAATCATTTGCAAAGTAAAAAGCAGAGGATGCCATAAGACCTGCAGTCTAGCCACACCTGTGCCTCTAGTGCAAGAGATGGTTAAAATAATACTATATAGTGATTTTAAGATACTGAATCTGTAAAGACTTATTTCCTAAAAACCCACATTCTTAGGGATCACATTATTAATCTATTTAAGCATACCTGGGAGAAAAGTACAAGACACTCCTGCCCCCCACCCCGCTAAGGCTATTCAATTTACAAGTCATGTCTTGCCTTTCCTAATACTTAGCAGGGCAAGTTGGGTGATTCAGCACCTACAGTTTGGGAAAAAAATGTACAACTTAGTGTAAATATGATATCATACTGGGAAAAATAACTTGGATTTATAAAAGTGATGTATCCTTTTAAACATCTGCAATGAAATAACTGCCTACATCTCAGGATAAGCTAACTGTTGTGCTTTCAGATGACTTCTCCGGACTCTTAGCATTCAACAGTTACAGAGTCAAATGCAATGTCTCTGAAGTTAAGCACATCTAGACACTTCTGCCTTGCTAGATTTTTCTCACTAGAAATAGATGACTACTATTTATAGCAGTTTTGAGAATAATCCCCTTTTATGGTTATAATACAATAGTTGCTCAACTGAAGGCAAATTCGGAAAATATGGAAAAGCCTTAACAATCACCTAACCAGGAAACCCTCCACAGCCCCTCCCTTTATGAGGAATCATTGCTATTTGGTCATCTTTGATTGTATTTTTTTCCTATACATTTTTTTTCTCCAGATTGTCATGTACACAAATAGAACCTATTTTTTACTTAACATGATATTCTTAGTATATTTCTCAAAATTCTTTGAAAACAATTTTTCCTTAAAAATACGTTTTCTAAGATAAACAATGCATTTTCTTGGTAGAAAATTTGGAAATTACTGTAAAGCAAATTCCTATTAATGCCACCCTCTGGAGATAGGCATCAGCTAACTGCTAGGAACATATTTTTATTCACATATGCATTTTTATTTACAAAAACGGATTCAAAGCATATATACCATATGATTTTTTCTCACATCATAAACACTTTCTATAACTAAATATTCTGCCTTTCAAATTGTCAGTGTCACATGGAATCCAACATTTACTTACCATTATTGTGATGTTGAACACTTAGGTTATTTCAAACTTTTCTATTATAAATAAAGCTGTAGTAAGTATCTTTGCTTTGTAATACTTCCTGTAGATTTCTAAAACTAAATTAATTGGTCAAAGGCTTTTGAAATTTTTCACATTGCCACAGGATTTTATCAGAAATGCAAACTTATTATCATCAGGGAAGGGTAGCTCCAAATTCCTGCTAGTATTGCTTTAGAAGTTTTTTTTTAATTTGATAGGTTAAAAATGATTTTTGACTTCCCTGATGACAGTGAGGGAGGACATATTCATTTGCATTTTGCTTTGGGAACTATTATGCACAATTCTGTTACCTATTACGTATGAAGGCCCATCTATTACTAAGGCTTTGTTTCTCTCAAAGATTACACACATGGATATCCGTTCTTAACTATGCCAGACTGTTACCAAATTATTTTACTGCAATAACTAATGTGATTTTTTTTTTTTTTTTGAGACAGGGTTTTGCTAAATTGTCCAGGCTAGACTCAAACTTGCGATCCTCTTGGCCTCCTGAGTCACTGGAATTACAGAAGTGTGCAACTATGCCCAGGTATAATGTGATAATTTCAGAATATATTTAGTAGCAATACTAATATTGCCCTCATTTGTTATTCTGAGTAAGGCTTAAAAATGACTTTTAGAACACCTAGAACAGTATCTGGTACATACTATATGACTCAAAGCTGATTAATATTGTATAAGCTATTATAATCACATATAGACCTTAGGTTTGTTCATTGTCAAGAAGAGAATATTTTTTATCAGAAGATAATTTTATTCCTTCACAGCAATAATATCCTGAGTCCCCTGCTCTGCAGCTCACTTGCTGTGTTACCTCAGGCAAGACATTTTAATTTTAACCTCAGAGAGACTGAGAAAGCATTATACAAGCAGGTACCCAATGTTAAATGATCCTCCTTCCTAATTTTCTGCTTTTCTTCAGTTGTTTGCTGAATCTTTTATCTTGAGCAATTTTAAAGTTGTTGTTGTTTTTTTTTAATTGAACATGTTACAAGAATTTAGTCAAAAAGATCATGTCACCTTCAGACTCCTCAGCTGGGGCAGCTGTGGTGGAGGGATCAGGACATCCTACTGGTGCCACACCAGCTGCTGGAGCAGGCCCACCAGTCCTTACATTGCAAATGAGGCTCCTAAATGTTGACATGGCCAGGCTTTTGCAAACAAACCAGGCTAAAAAGGTTATCTTGAGCATTTTAGAGTAAAAATGACACTAAGTTTAAAACTTACTACAAAGAAGAACTAACCTTTTCCCATCTCCTTTAAAGAGATTAATTTCAGGATATAATATGGTGAGTGTTAAGGGAATACCAACCATGAGGGCAGCTAAATGCCAGACCGCAGTCTCCAAAAAGTTAAGCAAGATGCTGTTTAGAGATAGATGGTATGGAGAAGATTAACTACAGTGAATCTACTAAGTCATGATTCTGTTATGTAGTTAAAATAGATGGGCGGCATTTTGACTGCAGGCATCCTAGGTTTTTAAAGGAAAGTTATCATGTGCTTGGGAGGCTGAGGCAGGACTGCAAGTTCAAAGCCAGTCTCAGCAACTTAGCGAGGCCCTAAGCAACTCAACAAGACCCTGTCTCTAAATAATACATAAAATCGAGCTGGGGATGTGACTCAGTGATTAAATGCCTCTGGGTTTAATCCTTAGTGCCAAAACCAAACAAAAAAGATATTTAAAGCAGTGTGCAGAGGCATTTATCTCTAATTCCAGTGATTTGGGAGGCTGAGAAAGGAGGATAGTAAGTTTGAGGCCAGGCTTGGAAACTTAGTAAGACACTGTCTCAAAACAAAACAAAAAATAAAAAGGTCTGGGGATGTAGTTCAGTGGTAGAACCCCATGGGTTCAGTATCTAGTACTGGGGGGGGGGGGGGAATCTGTTTCCCTTACAACAAAAGAGGCAAAAACACTACGTAATAATATTTTTACAATTCCCCTACATCAAGCAGTTTGCCAGTGTATCTATATATGCTAGAAACACATCAAAAATCCATTCAGAAATAACAAAAAAGTACAAATTTCGGCACACAGTTTTTTGAAGTATACAATTTGTTTTTATTTACAATACCCTATAAAAATGTAAATTTAGAAACTTTTATTTTCATTAATTAGAACCAAAAAAAAATAAAGCACAGTAAGGAAGAAATAATAATCAAGTATTCACTTGATCAGTTGTGAAGGGAAGGTAGGAAAGGCGCATAGTGGAAATAGTCAGTAGGTGATGGTGGAGGGAAGCTAGGTAATGTCACTGGGGAACAGCTGGTGAAGCCTGGGTTACAGAATGGGAAGAAACGGAGATGAAGAACAAGGACAGCTGGTTATAACAGGATTTTACTGTTGTACAATACATGTATGTGCAAAACGTTTATTCTCTTTAAATGTCACAGCCAGTCCCCCACTACATTCGAAAAGGTGAGAATGGCATAAAGTAGACTGGAAGGGCATGTAAAATTGATTCAGATTTAATCTTCTTCAGAACTGAAATCTCTAGGGACCAAAACCCTTATCCTGGTTGATTGCTGAAAGGAAGGGTAAGTGACAAAAGATCATGGCAGGCTGTACCTGCTAAGATTTAAACCCAGGTCCCTGGCTGTCTGGGAACGAGGCTCAGGTGAGATGGACGAGCCAGGGCGGCAGTTCTGCCCATGTTGGAGGATAGTGAAGAGCAGAGCAGGCCAAGCTTAGCTTCTGTGGTTACATTTGAAGGTTTCTACCCATGACACCAGATGAAAATGAGGAAAAGAGATGGACAAGCATGGCTTACTGAAGTCACCTCAGGAAGACAGAGTGTGCAAAAAGCTACACTGCTCAAGCAGGCTGTAAGTGAGGATCACCTTGGGTGCTCCTGAATGCACTTGAGGGGACAGGCTCAAGCACACTGTGGTTGTAGCTGGAAAAAGGCTTAACCGTGTGCTGTTTCCATTAGGGTGGACAAAACAAAGAAAATACAGGTGGGGAAGAGGAAAATAACTTCTCAACCTAGAGCTGGGCACCAGCCAATTAAGAAATATGATCTTATTAAATGTGCCATATACCCTGTATTTATATTAAAACAAATAAGTATTTCCACCAAATTAATTACAAGACGAAATAGAAACAGATTAAAAATATATCAGTTGGTTTGTTTAGAGATGGTATGTGTCAACTAAATATTTTTCAATCTAAAATTCATTCTTTAAGGACCCTCTGGAGATCATATAAATGTATGTATGGGGTATGTGTGTTTCTAGAACTTGATTTCTATTTAGTTGGCTCTCCTACAGTCATATTAATATGGGATAATGAAAAAAGACTTCAATAGGATGAGGGGAAGAATCTTTTGGCAGGCTACAATCTACTTTGAACTGGAGTAGTGGTAGTGGGATCAAGGGAGATATAATTTTTTGTCGCTAGGGCAAAGAAAATGCAAAATTGAGAAGAATTGAGTAAAAGTAGGACATGCAGAATTGTAACACAGAAAGTAAAGAAGAAACCAGCATAAGTATCACCCAGCCAAATTTCACAGAGCAATGGGGAAAATACCTGGCATTTAGAGACAACCCCTGTAAACAGGAATCAATCCCACAAGACTTTGCTTTGGGGAATAAGCTACCTTCCCTCCCTCATTAAAAACACTCCATTGGTGATGGCAGCAGTGCAGGTGGCAGCCCAAAGGAGGTACAGGACACATTTGGAGATCTTTTATCGTATCCCCTGAACTAGCCTAAGGGTATAAAAAAAGAGAAAGAAAACTTGTTTATATAAATAAGTTTAAATAGAAAGTAAACTTTTGTATTAAAATTTCAACCTTGTAAAGATTCTCAATAACAAAACACCCAAGACATTGTTTTACTCTTAGTCAACTTCAATGAGGGTACTGTTGCACCCAGTATAGCATTTTATATCAGTAGATACGCGAATATTTATTTAAAGTCTTTACTCTTTTCCACCAAATTCAGTTTTATCCTCCCCTCTATCATAACTTCTAAAATGCCAACTTTGTTGACATGTGCAACTATCCTTTTTAAAACTTACTGCAGTTTTGTCTCCAGCAAGTTCAATTTCTGCCGGTCGACATAGCGAGAAAAAAGGGACACTAGGTTTGTGGGTATAGAGATTGGTTTGGCCAGGGCTGCTTGGGGAATCCGCAGAAGTTCTCGGGTTGCCATGAACATCACCTCCGTCCTGATAGGGAAAACCAAACAACAAGATGAGGGAAAAAAAGAAAGATCACCTCAAAAAACTTAAAATAGAGAAATAGTCCGTACTGACCATTGGTTATTTTGCGTTGATTCTGTAGCAGGGTCTGAACTCTGTAAGTCTTCCCCACGGCTCAGGAGAACAAGGAGCAGTGACAGGCCAAACTATGAGAGAAGACAGGGTGTCAAACAAAGCATCCAAACCTCCTCTACGACAACTGATGGGATCCTAGCATTAAATGGGAATAGCACTAAGCCACAATGACCTCACTGCTGTGCTTCTCTGTGAAACCAGGCAGAAAATGGACAACCCTGAGCTAGAAGCCTACGTCCTTTCTCCCGGTTTTGCTTTTGGCACAGCCACGACCAAGCACAGCCTTTGGAAACAGAACATCATGGTGTCCAACATTCTTATCTGTGCCTCACCCTGGGGTGAAAGGATGATCCCCGCCCCCCCATCATGTTTAACATGGGGTTTGGCTTTTTTCCTATTTACAAGAACTGAAATGGATTAAAAAGAAAAGTCAAAGTTCATGGAAAATGAAAAAGCATGCACGGGGCACTGGGTTCGATCCTCAGTACCACATAAAAACAAACATGTTGTGTCCACCAAAAACTAAAAAATAAATATTAAAAAAATCTCTCTCTCTTAAAAAAATAAAAAAAAATAAAGAAGGGATAAACAAATGCATTCATCTTGTTTAAAATTAAAATCCAGCAACATAAGGTTTAGAAACTGAAATATAAAAAAATGTCTTATTTAGTGGCGGTAAAAGAAGGAAACGTAGGTTAAAGGGGCATAAAATGAAAATACAAATGCGGACAAGAAACAGGTTAAATGTAAGAATCACATGATCTATAATGAAACATAAAGGGAAGGATAATCTTGCCTTTCCACAAAATTTCCCTTCATGTTATGGGGGCGGACACTGGGCTATATAATCTTATCTGGTCTCAGTTTCCTACTGCCTTTACCAAAATTAAAACCAAGAGACCAAATCATATCCCTGTTTACTTCAGAAGCCCATCTACATCCCTGAGGCGGTTACTTCTCCTGCTGATGTCTGCCCTTCAGAGTCATGCTTTGGTAGGATTGTAAGCGGAAGGCAGAAAGAGGCCTTGAGACTATTTTTCACCTCTACTGCACAGAGTGCCTGAATGAGTGCCTGTTATGTATGGGTCACTACATGAAGCACTCAAAGCCATCATCTCAATGAAGTACGAGGCCAACTCTGTGAAGTCTACATCATCACTTCTACTTTACAGATCAGGAGGAAGCTGCCCTAGGAAAGTGAGAAAAATCTGTCCAGAATTCTAAGGCTAATATGGCAGGAAAGAACTAAAACCTTGTCTGTTTAAAAACTCACATTTGTTCCTTTCTTTTATGCTTCCACTAGGAGTTTATTTAATCTGACATAAATGAAATGGGAAATTCTACTTATAATCATATAACACAGACCACCAACTGTAACTTAACGATAGACCTTCCTTCTCATTATTAGGAACTCTGACTTTACTTGTGGCACCAATGATGTGCACTAAAAGCTATTTCTCAGACTTTTTTGCAGTTAGGTTTATCTAAATCCTGGCCATTGATATTAAGTAGAAGTTGGTTTGAAGTCCTGGAAAAGGTCCCAATGAAGAGCGCAGAACATTAATCCACATCTTCCATAACCACCCTCCTTCCTAATGTAAACTCCACACCATCTTAGATCATGAGGGATCATGTTCCTTCTGTATTGTTTCCTCTAACAAAAGTTCACAGTCTTGCTACTAAAGATGACAGGAAAAAAAAAAAAAAATGGAGCCTGGATCTCTTGAGTCCACTGTGAGCCGACTACACCAGATTTGTTTCTTCAGGAGATACATAAAATCCTACTGTGTTTCAACAAAAGAAAACAAAAAAAAGCAGCAAAAAATAACAACACTGTTTATCTCTAGCTTAAAACTAACAACACTATTCTTTCTAGCTTTTGGTAGTAGGATTAACGCAACTTCTGACTAAAGGAAAGAATCCCTTTTGAACAAGTTATCACAGCATGGTAGCCACTGCTTTTAAATCTGTAACTCAAATTTAGATGTTTCACAAAATCTAGGGACACAAAAGTCAAGACCACCTTGTTCTGGAGCACAGCTGCAAGGTGAGGGTTGGAGGGTGCTGGTGCAGCTGCACTTTGAGGTAGGTTCATTAGCTGTTGCAGAAGGCTGGTGACAGTCACTGAAGGAAGATGATAAAGGAGGAGAGAGAAGGGACTCAATAAACATGGCAGCACCTACAAAAAAAATAAACAAAAGTATTACATCTTGTCAACTGTTCTTTAATTACTGGCCATCAGTTGCCACGGACAGAAAGATGCTCAGCAGTATACTCAACCACTCATGGCAAGATTTAAGAAAAAAGAGGTGGCAAGCCCAGTGGATATGACTGAAGTCTCAACAATGGATTCTAAGGTATCTATTGAGAATGTTTTCAATTCAATCTTCACTGGAAATGCCATGACTTGTAGTACCAAGGGGGCTAAAATCACTTTTCAAATACTAAATTCATATTAATACACCATACTATTATTTTAGTATGAATGTTGAGCTCATTTCACAAACGTCTAAAAGCCTACAATGTGCCAGACACAATGCCCACCCCACCTCCCCACCAAAAAGATGGTAAACAGGTCACACATGGACCCTTAGACATCTGAAGCATAGTGGGGAAGACTGGCAATTTTGATATACTGTAAGAAGCACTCTAAAGTTTAGACTGCTACACAATTACTAGCACCTTCAGACTTAATTTTATCTTATTTATAAAAGCTCAATGAAGAAGTGAACAAATAGTTAAGTTAAAATACAGCTGGTTTTACAACAAAAAAGGAAATCAAGAGCTGAATGTGGTGGCACATGCCTATCATCCTGACTGAGGATCTTAAGTTCGAGGCCAGCCTCAGCAACTTAAGCAAGACCGTTGTAAAAGTGCTCGCCTAGCACACGTGAGGCACTGGGTTCGATCCTCAGCACCACATAAAGTAAAATAAAGACATCTGTCCACTTGTAACTAAAAAAAAAAAATAAAAACATTAAAAAAACAAAACAAAAAAAACCACGGTGATGTATTATTTTAAATGGCACCTAAGGACAGAGACTGGGTCACTTTTTGACATTTAATACTCTAAACAAACAAAGCTTTTTAATCATAGATATTTAAATACATACATGAAAGTACAAATAACAGTAATTGTTCATGTATCCACTACCCAACTTCAATAGCCAAATTACTGTATTATCAGTAATAAAATAACAGATTTTATTAGATCTGTTCCTTCCATATGGTATCATTTCTTCTAAAAATACTTATTTCTCTAACAAAATCTCATTATATCAAACAAAATTAAAAATAATTTTAGTATCAGTTAATAGCTACTCAAAATTCCTATTTTTCCATTTGTGTCAACAGTATCTTTTAGCAGCTGATTTATTTTAATTACGATTCAAATAAGATCCATATATTGTATTTTACTGATGGGGTTTAAAAAAATAACAGGTCCTTTGCCACAGTCTGTATGTCCTCTTCTCATGCTATTTATTGAAACAAAAAACATGTGTGGGGCTGGGGTTGTGGCTCAGTATGTAATTTGTCTCATTGTTTGAATCTGGCGCCTGCATCCCTGTGATGCCACTTAATTGGTTCTGCCATCCAGTATGTCCCCATTAACTGATGGTGATTACAAGTTTGATTAGATTCTGGTTTAATGGTGGGAGGTGGGGCAGAAGAGGGAGGCAGGAAGACTGCAGGCATTATGTCAAGAAGCACAGTGCTTAGTGTCCCATTCTTGGTGGTGTTTGCAGTGCATCGCCAGGTTCAGCTGTCAGTATGCTCCAAACAAGTCCAGGCTTACAAAATGATTATTTTCTGAAGTTCTTCTATAAAGAATTTTATATTACCAACTCTGGTAACCATGACATTTGGTTATAATAAAAAAGCAGGATAAATGCTTGAGTCTTTCCTTTATTTATCTATTTTTAGGATGAACTGATGGTGTGGCAGTTTCCAAAGAGGACTGGTTTATTTGGTGTCATTATGAATTCATTAAATGAAATACATTTACTACATTCATTCAGTCCACTGTTAATTTTTCTTTCTGATATAAATGATCCCATTTTTAGCCAACAAGAGCCCTTTCAAAGTTAATCTGTGCATCCACAGGACCCTAGTAATCTATTAACTTCTTTGCATTCAGGCACACAATATTTTAGGATTGCCTTAAATTTTCAGGCCCCATACCTGAAACTAACTGTACCTTCATGAAAATAGTTTTGAGAGATGTGGTCTACTGCTTTTCAACACACACACGTAAAAATGCAGCCTGAATATTTAATCAAGTCTTCCTCACTAGGAGGTAAGCTCCATGAGGACAGGCATTTTTGTATTTCTAGCTCCTAGGACTGGGTGCTGTTATTTCTAAGAAATAAAATAGTGTCTAATATGTATCTGCCAACTGAGTAAGGCTCTCTCAAACTTGCTCTGTAATTATGGCAAGAGCGCCTGCTTACAGTGTACATGGTCTGAAATAGCAGTAACTTTTTTTAGTTTAGTCAACTTATTAGGATAAACCTCAAATCTTTAAATTTTCTTCCAACCATTTTTCATTCTTAAAATCTTTTAAAAATAAACTTTCTTACCCACTTCACTTTCTTAATGATTAGACCTAAACTGCTCATTCACTTCTATAGATGCTAAAATTTTAAGGGTCTACAAAAGGAACAATTTCCAATTGTCAAAGCATACCATTTCTAGTGTATCCTGTCACCATTTGTTTTCTGTGGACTAATTACCCAGACAGGTCTCACTCAGCTTGTGGCTGACTGTGACAGGCTCACCCGAATACCTTTTATTATTCTGAATCTCATACTCATTAATACCAGTCCTTTGTCCTACCTTTCTCAATTTCTTGTTTTGACCTCCTACACCATACTAAATTTTGCTAATCTCTTAGATACAGAAGTCCTGATCTATCTTCTATAAATTCTTTTTCCCGGTGGCACTGGTGATTGAATCCAGGGGCACCTTACCACTAGACCACATCCCCAGTCCTTTTTATTTTGACAAAGGGTCTTGCTAAGTCGCTGAGGCTAGCTTCAAACTTGCAATCTTCCTACCTCAGCCTCCTGAGTTGCTAACATTACAGACATCCAACACTGTACCCAGCCATACTCTATAAATTCTGATTCAGCATTTGGGGTACAGAGCCAACTTATTTGCTTCCCAATTAGTTCTGACATACACCATGTCTTTACAACTGTGTTGTGAATTAAGAAGGAACTACTGATTTCCTCATGTTTTCAGAGATGGTCTGTTCCACTAACTATGGGATTCAAAAAAATACACCTGAATTACTTAAGGTTGTTTTAAATAATCAAATCCTAATGCCAAAGTTTAGACAAAACAACACAAAAAGGAGAAGAGACAAAGAAATTAGATTCCAGAAATCTTATCAACTATGAAAAAAACTGCAAGGAAAGATGTCCCACATGGTGGATCACCTCATCTTGTGCATCCTTCTTGATAAGAAAAGGGAGGTTCCTGGCAGTTGTCATGAGAATGTCAGCTGCTTGCTCTGTGGAGAGGAATGGGAGAATACGGGCAACCATTCTCTTCCCTTTTCGAATACACATGATCTGTACAAAGTGGTCATCACTTGGCCTACAAGGGAAGAAAAATGACAATTTTCATTAACAAGAGCAATACAGGAAATCCTCATGTTTTCTCTTCTTAGGTCTTTTTAAAATTAATATGCTGCATTCATTTTCACTCTACAATGACCTGTACTACAAAATAGTGAGAATTACTTCTCCAACTTTAATAAAATAATAAAAAGCAAAATTTCAATTTCACTAATTACATTTTAGAAAAACTTGGTCAAACTATACAAGCATTATTACATTAACCCTTAAGTATCGACACAAATATCACATGGCTAATAGAGCAACACGTGAAAATGTATACATAAAAAATAAAAACATAATCTGAGTTAATTTTACAAGTGTTAACAGTTTGCAGACACTTTTCCAGGTAAATATACATCAACCACATACATTTTAATGCCATGTAACATGAAATTTATGGACAAACCACAACTATTCAACCAGTTTCTTGTCAGCCCTAAAAACACCAGAAAAGGTGTGTTGAAAAGAAAGTGCTTGTTTTTTAAAAATAATTTTAATGTATATATTTTTAGTTATTGATGGACATTTGTTTTATTTATTGATTTATTTATATGTGGTGCTAGGAATCGAACCCAGTGTCTCACACATGCTAGGCAAGTGTTCTACCACTGAGCCACAACCCCAACCCAAGGTGCTTGTCCTTATGTTCTGTTTGTGTATCTCCTGGCTTAGAAGAATCCACAACTCTACTGACTGTACAAAGGGAAAGAGAATTACTAGCCAATGTAGTCCTCTTACATTCATCATGTTAAGTATCTGGGATTTATTGAACATTTACCAACAGCAGGATTCTGTTCCAGATAATAAATGGAAAAGAGATGACACAGAAAAACAATAAAAGTTACAGAACTTAAGACTCCACTGGAAGATTTACTGGTTTCTACACCACACACATATTCTGTGGAAATTCCAAGGAAATATAAATGTTTACAATCCCCATCTTAGTAGAAAATCAAACAAATGAAGATTACATGCTAGTAATCATAAACCACATATAGTCCGTAAGCTCAAAACCAAAAATCTAATAGGCCCACCCCACCATTTATCTGTAGTACCGAGCACAATTCCTAGTAGATACTGAATACATATTTGTTGAATAAATGAACTCAGGATAAGAAGACTCCCCACGCTGACCAGCCACCAGCTGTGAAAGATTATGAAATGGCTAATATGAAATCACCTTTTGAGTTTGGACAATAGGTAGATTCTGAGTTTACAGAGATAGCAGGGAAGGGTCCTGAAAAGGCAGAAATGTGTAAAACTCAGTCTGAGAGAGACAGAAGTCCAGGTAGTCTCATGTTTTTCTCAAAGTGCACAAAGCTTACCTCTCTTGCCCGGGCAATTTACCCCTCAAGTTGTCATACATGCTACAGATTTTGTGCTTTCTCTCTTCCATCAGGGCAGGCCGCTCTTCTTCTAAACTTAGGAGATAACGCCTTTCATAATCCTCCACATCAAGAAGTAAACTATAAGTCTAAGGGAGAGACAAAGCAGGCCACAGCATGCTGTGTTAAGATCATCAAGTATCTAATAAACAACTTTACAGTTTCGGACCACCTGACCTGATAAGATCACCATAAACTTCAGATAAAACAAAACAAAAGGTGGTCTTTAAAATATAGGAAAACTGGGTGAAATAACTTAATTCTTCATGTATCATTTTTTATTTCTCCCTGACTTTTAATCTAGCAGATAAAGATAGTGAAATATCATTACACTTTCCAAATATACAGTGCAGCAACAATAGCACTGTATATATAACATTCTGTTTTACTGCCACAGTGAACTTTGTATTTATAAAAATATTAATAAGAAGTGATTTTACCACTGGGTGCCAGCCTCTGTTCTAAACACTTCATGCTCATTCACTGAACACTCGCCACAAGAAAACTATCATAATCATCTTCATTTTTATAGACAAAGAAACTGATGACAGCACAGAAATATTAAATAACTCACTTTCATATCATAGCCTCAGAAATGGAAGATATAATTTATAGCCTAGAAAATATACTCTAAGGCCATCTTCTATGGCTTTGCCACGTGGGATTTATGCTTTACACACCAACTATATATTTTCCTTAGCACCCAATGAGTGCCCAATAATTATCTATAAATTGACTTAATTAATCCATAGGAGAAACAATATAAATTTTATTCCCATTTTTACCAGGCTTAGAAAGGTGACCTGCCCAGAAATACTCAGCTCTTAATTCAACAAGTCTGAACAAAAATCCAGTACTTCTAATTTTAACTGCAGGATTCTTTCCATGATGCCATAGGGAAGGTATACCACAATTCTTTCTGTAGTGCTGTGGCACACAATAAGTACTTAATAAGAGTATATTTTTAATTAAATCAAAGAACACTGAGTCATTGCTCACTTCTCTGCTTCTTGGGTACACACATACTTGACAGTTCCTTATTTGAAACTAATTATAACAACAAATTCTAAAACTTACTTTCTCAATTATGACAAGGGTTTTTCTTCTCTTGTCCCGAACCTGCTTTTCTTTTGTCTCCTAAAAGACAAGAATATTCAGTGTCTAATAACTCTGCTAAAAACAATTTTCCAAGTATGCATCTGTAGTTCAACTGTGAAAATATTTTAAGAAAATTTTGATTCTGTGAAAGTTAATAATCTAAAATGACACTAGCACAAAGTTCAGAGTTGATGGACTCAACCAACACACAAACTGAATTTATAGATAGACAAATGGTAATTATAGAATTTTACGGAGGATTAAAATTTCATAGCAAATTTTGAAAACACACAGAAAATAGTATTTATTTTTTTGTGGAGCTGGAGATTAAACCCAGGGCCTTGTGCGTGGAATGCAAACACTCTACCAACTGAGCTATATCCCCATCCAGAAAATAGTAATTTTTTAAAAATAGCAAACTGGAGTAAACAGATGCTGTTTGCAGACAAACATGCCTAGTCTAGATTCCTGCCTCTTCTGGCCTTCACCAGCTACATGAGAAATGAAGGTGTTATTATTTCAGCATGTCTGTTGAAAACCAGAAGGCCATAATGTGCCAGGTTGTAAGCTCTGGGTTAGACTACAAACAACTCCGTCATGCCTGATCTCATTCCACAATGACTCCAAAGTAACTGGTGACCACCAAGACATTCTTAAATATATAATTCTACAGACACTTACATCATCCTCACTCCGAGATGTCACAACAGCATCAATCATTTTTCGAGGGTTATTCACACTAGAGACAGTAAGTTTCCCCAAAGAACCCTCAAACTGCACTGTAAGGACAAAATAAAAATAAAAATTCCAACAAAATAAAAACTCAGCAATGCAGGCAGGAAGCATTCACAAAATTTTTACTTTTCTGTTCTTTACTCATGGTGTAACAACTTACTACAAAAAAACCTACGTATCCTTTAAAGGAACTCCTTATTACAATCTATCCTTTCTCATTCCTCCTCATTTATTTTAGAAATATCAAAAGCACCCAAGAGGTCATCTGTCAAGCCATACACTTTATGCTCAGATAAAGGCTGATCTTTGCATATATTAAAGGCAATAGTACTTTATAAATTATTTCCAAACCATCCACATGCATAGAACAGCAGGAATGCCCTCTCCTCCCTGCCCCCAGAAGAGGACAAAACAGATAACGTATCACCTATATTTTATCAAATCAGTGGCATCTCAAATTTCTCTTATCATATAAGGGCCTGCATCTTACCTGGCTTATACGCATGCTCCAGTTTGGCCACCTGAGGGGTGATGAGCTTGGTGCGTTCCTTTTTAGGGCCATCACCTTGCACTTCTTCAGCAGCTGACAGTTTCTCCAGTTTTTCGAAGTAATTCTACCACAAAATGATTTCAGTTGCAACACAAGCACAGACTATGATTGTTCTTTACCATCAAATAATTATTTTACAATAGTGGCAGTAACACAACTTGAACCATAGAAATGTACTGATCTCTAATTTTTGCTAGATTCAAGCTAACATTTACTATATTAAAATTCATAGCATTTGGGCTCAGGGTGTAGCTCAGTGGTGGAATATATTCTTAGCATGCTTGAGGCCCAGGGTTCAATCCCAAACTGCCCCCTCACCTCTACCAAGAAAAAATCCTTAGCCTTCAAAAACTTTAATCGAAGGAAATGTCTTTAGACTGCCAATATACTTAACTGATAGAACCAGATTACTGAAGCCAAAGAAACTGAAAACACTGGTCTCAGAGCAAACAGCTCAAGAGTCTCTTGCTTGAAGCGAGGACAGAATTTGTTTAGTAAATTATCAACTGCTTGAGGACTACCTCAAAAGAAAATTCTACCTCGAACATGTTCCACCACTGAGCTACACCCCCAGCCCAAAGGCTACGACTTTTAATTTAAGTCAAATACCTTTTCTAGCCTAAGGGGCCAAAATGTTATTTTCAAAACTAGCACCAAGTATTTACCTGGTAATAAAAATCATCCAGGTAGGGATCAGTGCTTTGCAGCTGCATCATTTGGATTTTAGAGACCCAATCTTTTTCCCGCTGCAACATGAGATTGGCATATGGATCTTTTCGAAGATGATCTTGATGACTGCTCCTGTGACTTCCTCTATCTCCAGCCCCATTGATATTCCGATGCTGACTGAAAAACATATGCCACATTCACTCTAAGTAGGCATATTAATTATTAATTAATTAAAGGTTATAACATTACAGGAATCAAACAGGCCAATTAAAAATCAAGTCTTCAAAGGAAAGAGCTATGTAGTACATACTCAAGGAAATAAAACTATATGAGTAACAAAGATCTGAGTATCTTACCACATACTAAATACTTTTACTTATGGACTTCTGTATAAACCCTAAAGAACCCTATGAAGCAGGTAGTTTTCTTTTCTCCACTTAAGACAACAAACTTACAACTTTGCCAAAAGTGACACTTCATAAGTTTTGCCTGTCTGATCATGTTAAGTGGTTATCTAATTTTAATCTTGCATTTTTTTTTGAGTGAGTTTGACCATGTTTTCATTTCTATAAGCCACTTGTGTTTCTTCTATTTGGAGTTGTATGTTTCTGCATGGCTTTTGTTATATTAAGGTCTGATATTTTTAATAGTCAAATGTATTAATCTTTCCCTATATAATTTGTACTTTGGAGTATTATTTAATAATCCACACTGGTTTCTTTCTTCTGAACCTGCAAAAATATTCTGGAACATTTCTGAAACTGAGAAGGAATCACACACTCAAAAAACAATAAAATGGATGGTTGAAGAAACTTCAGAGTTTATTTTTTTCTTTTCTTTCTTGCTTTGCTCATGTTATTCAAGTACTCTACAACTGAGTTACACTCCAAGTCCTTTTTTATATTTGAGGCAGGTTGTGCTTGAAACTATGATCCTTCTGTCTTAGTCTCCTGAGTAGCTAGGCATGTACCACCATGCCTGGTTTATTCTCTTCATTTTATTTAGATGCCTAATTATGGAATTACTTTATATGAAACTACAAAGGCAAAGGCTTTATCTGTCTTGTGTGCTTTTTTTAAAATCTTCAAAACCTACCACAGTCCACAATACACAGATGGGAGATATATGTAAATGTATACATTTATATTTGTTGAATAAAAATTAAATAATTTTTATAGAAATAAAGAATGACCACTGGGTTCACATTAAGACCCAAATGTGAGGCTGGTCACTACATTTTTTTCCTCTTTTAAAAATTTTTTATTGATTTGATTTTTAAAATTTTTTTACATACACGACAGCAGTGGAATGCATTACATGGTCACTACATTTTTAAGATTTAATTCTGAACTGAAAGTCAAAGAAAATGTAGTTAAAGAGAATGCTAAGAACTTGGTAAGGTTCTTATAACCTTTAAAAGAATTCAGAGCTCAACTTATGATCAACAGAGTTAGAACAGTTTGGTAATTTGTTGATAAAATCTTAGTAAAGCTAGTGTGTCAAAAACATAAAAATGACAGCATTTGTGACATAACTTTACCAGCAAAATCAGCTTCATACTAAGTAAACTAAGAAAGTAAACTAAATTAATAACATTTTGTTACACTGTCCAGTAAACCACCAAGGAATACACTGAGTACTTACTTCCTGTTCTGCTGCTGTCTCTGATGCAAGAGCCGCCGGTGCTGTGGATGAAGGTGAGTTGTGTCTGGTCTAAACATTGGGGCCTGAGATCTAAGAAAAAAATGAAAAAAAAAAAAAAGGCCTTTCATTCTGTCATCCTGATGATCTGAAGTTTTCACAAATGCTATCAGAACAGGATAACTTCACATAGGTTCAGTAGGGACTGCCAAGTGTATTCTAAAGAGACTCTAAGTAAAAAAGTCACTTTTTAAAAACCTATCTTCCACAAAGACCAGTTCTCAACTAAGAGGATGATCATGAAATCTCAGGAAATTTTTTAGAAAAAGCATGTGATTTTCTTTTTGCTCCTGTTTAACAGTGTTCTCTCAAGAGGTTTATTTGCCTTAAAAACAAAAACAGAAGTCTCCAAAGAAATTCTGCATCAAGACTGGAACACAGAAGTCTTGCCTGAATCTCCAGCCTGCCAACATATAACATTTCAAACTCAAGAATGCAACTTCAATTCTTAGTGATTTCTGGCCTGCCCTATAAATTTTTAACTTGCCAGCTTCCACAATCACATTTGTTAATTCCTTAAAATAAAATTAACCCTTTCTCTATTTTTTTCCTACTGGTTCTATTTTTCTTGAGAACCCTGATAATACAATGTATGTAATAAAAAACAATTTTATCAAAGCAGGAACTTGAACTCCTCTTGTTATAAAATCAGAAGGTAGAAGTAAAAAATGTAGCAGATACCAAGACTTGCCAACTTATCATTATTATTTTTTTAAACTTCTCATTATTCACATCTCTCATCCTTACTTATGATTCTTAAGTGATCAATACCATGTGTGCATATCTTAGTGTGTGTTTGTAAAGTGGACATGAAATGAGAAGTAAAAAACTTTAGAAGAAATAAAAGGTGAGTAACTTGTAACGTATAAATGTGCACAGGATGCATGATTCTTGATGATGACATAAGAAAGCCTAAACTGTCAAACCCCGACTTGAGGATCTCAAAATATTTCACTTACAAGATACATTCATATATGTATGTGTGTGTGTATGTATGTGTGTGTGTGTGTATTTTTGGTGGGACCTAGTGATGAATATCTTTATTTATTTATTTTTATGTGGTGCTGAGGAATGAACCCAGTGCCTCACAAGTGCAAGGCAGGAGCTCTACCACTGAGCTACAGCCCCAGTCCTCACTTAAAAAATATTAAGAGACTTTTATATTAAAAAACTAAATTGGAATTATCAAGAGACTTAGCTGGCAATGGGTAAACATTGGCATGTTTTATATACCTTAGGTTTTGCAGATGAGGTCCTGGGCCGGGAGGGTGCTGCTGTGGAGGTGGTGTTGCAGGGGGTGGAGCACCAAAGAAGGCACGGAAGCCTGGTGCTGGGGGAAGCATCTGCCCAACTCGCCCTTGCAGCAACTTGGGATTCATGGCAGCAAGAGGACTACCAACAAATCCAGGGACCCGTGCAAACTGGCTGGGAGACATCCGACCAGGCTGTAGCTAAAAAGAGGAACAAGATCTTAAGATTGAGTTAACCTTAAATCAGCAGTAAGCTCACCTGCTTGCTGAAAATTGAATACTGTTTCCATCAATAACTTTGTTTTAAAAACTAAAGGCAAAAATAAGAGACAGTGGTGTTTACTAACAAAAACATCTATGTCCTAATGAACCTTAAGACAGTAAGCGGGTTCTTTATGGATAGAGCTAATCACAGGCTTACCTGTGCTCCTCCAAGAAGCTGTGCTCTCTGGAGGGGACTGAGAACCGGAGGAACAGTAGGAGGAAAAGGGTGACCCAGGAGGGAAGAGTTCTAAGGAAAAAAATAAAGTAAGGAAACAATTATATCATGAAACAGGTAAATCAATGTAATAAGGGAACTCAGTAGAAATGCAGTATAAACTTAGATTGTAAAATTCTCAAATTGTAGCACACACTACTGAAGAAATAAAAAGAATAATGCTAGAAATTATGAAACATTATGGCCACATAAAACAAAAAAGAAATTAGAATGAGAGTTGAAGTTAACATGAAACCAGATGACGAGAAAGAGCTTAGATTTTTAAAGAGTAGTGCTAAGAAACACATAAACTATGTCTTCTGACCAGGGGACCATAAGACCCAGAAATTCAAGGATGGAGATTATAAAATTTAAGTGTTCCATAGGAGATGTTAGCACTTCTACATACTGAATCACACAGGCAGTGACCACAAAGTACATACTTCACTTTTTTGTTAGACTGTAAAGAGACATACCGGGACACTGCAGAGCTGGTTTGGAGACATCCTCTCACCATAGGGAGCAGGATAACGTGGTGGCATTGGGGGCCGAACATGGACAGGCTTCGGACACAGAATCTATTAGGACAAACATATATACAACTACACTCAATGAAATCAGTTTTTCTTCCACCTACACTCCCTCCCCTCAAGTACTGGTAGAGACACAGAACTCAATGCAAAGCCCTACTTCTAAGCAGACTGCTATAACTATGGATTCAAACCCAGAACCTTTGATAACTTCCTCTCACAAATCAAGAAAAGTCTGAGGAAGATTTAGCTAATTCTCCAGTTATCCCCACCCTTCCATGCTATCTGAGGGAGATATCAGCAGATATTCTGACTTGCAAATTCTCTCCAAGAGGATGTATTTTGGTAGCAGTGAGGGAGAAGGAATGATAAGAAAGCTGGAGGATTAACTAAGTCCTATTCTGAAGCCTCTGTGATATGGCCGCCATGCTCAGCAATTTCATGATACATTGTGACTCCACCATTTATTTCATAGATAATTGAGCCTAACTAGGCCATACCAACACCACCCTCCCCCCATACCTTCCAAATTGGCCTTCCTTTTCAGCTGCTGGTTTCAGGTGGAGGAAAGTCTATGGAACAGGACTGCACAGGCTCTAGGGAAAGCAGGGATATCTTAAAGGTAAAAAGGGATGTGGACAATGCTGAGTGTTCCCATCCCCCCCAGCTTTCAGTTATCTCTCTGCCAAAGTGTTGGGCAGCCAGTAAAACACTTTAAAAAGTACATAAGCCCTAAATGTGCTTAACTACCCTTTTCCTCCCCCAATTAAAAGGCAGCAGCAACAACAGCAGCAAAGGCTATTCGGGAATGTGTCTCTTATTTGTACTAACTTCTCTGCTAATTGGCTATAATTGGCTATTTTGCTTTCTAATCTAAAGCCTACCCAAAATCTCCACCCTCCTCCCAGTATCACCCATTTCCCAAATAATTTTGCCCAGATGCCCAATATCCTGGGCTGAGTGCCTGTTAATGAGAGGTACCTGTTGGTTGAAGCTGGGTACAGCCATCTGCTTAGGTGGGGTGCCTATGGGCACAGCTCTAACTGGAGGACTCCCAATGATAGGTGAAGTTGAACGCCTTGGTAATGCTCGCTCCGAAAGATCCCGATCATCTTCTGGGCCCTGTGGGGGCCTCTGAGGCAAGGCATACTCTAGTACAGACACTGTAGGCATTTCCTAATGAGGAAGTAGTTAAAAAAAAAACCCCAAAACAAACAGAAATTAGCTAACTTGAAATGTTTTAATAATCTCTACAGATGTCAAAAATACTTTTTAAAAAAATTTTATAATTTATTTATCTATTTATTTACTTTTGGTACCAGGGATTGAACCCAGGGGTGCTTAACCACTGAACCACATCCCTAGCCCTTTTTATTTTTTTGAGTCAGGGTCTCACTAAGTTGCTTAGGGCCTCATAAGTTGCTGAGGTTGGCTTTGAACTCAAGATCCTCCTGCCTCAGCCTCCTATATCACTGAGATTACATGAATGCATCACTGCACCAGCTTTTTTTTTTTTAATTCACATGTAGAAAAATTCAGTCTTTGGTATACAATTTTTTTGAGTTTTGATAAATACATAGAAGAGATGTTGCCTCCAGAGAACAATTTTATCACTCTGCAAAATCCCCTTCTTTTGTTCTTTTACTGTTAATGCCTTGTGCCACATCTAACCACTGGCAAACCCTGATCTCTTCTCTGTCCCTGCCTAGACTTTTAAAATAATTTAAATCATATACTGACAACATGAGTTCCAATGGCTCCCTCTCAATTTTTACCCTGGGGGCTGATAAAGGGCACATCAACAGAGAGAGCCGTCTAAGTACTGGATGCAGTAGTTGACATAATACTGGCAAATGATAAATATCGACATGTTCACAGTAAAGAAAAATGACAACAGGAGTCAACTTAACATTTTATAATACTAGTAATTTTATATAATGAGAAACTTTTTAATACCTGAGCAAGAAGTGGTCCTCGGATTCGCCTCAGAACTTCGGATCCATCCCAGATGCTGGAATTCAGACTTCCTGGTTGAGGCTACCAAACAAACAAACAAACAAAACACATATATACAAATTCTGCAATACTGTGAGGTCTCTGGGTGACTCATCTGCTATTAGGGAACAAGGGTCCAAGGTTTTTACTGGCAAGTAGTTGACAAGAAATTATAGTGCTCCAGAACACACATTATTCCCCAATTTTATTTCCAGAATTACTATCATCAGTAATCATATTATGAATTTTCTATGACATAAGTGATAATGGCAAAGCTCAATATTTTAATAGTCGACTATAGTTCTCAAATAAGAGTAAATTACTCACTTGCAAAATTGGCCTGGTCTGCACTGCCTGCATAATAGCTGGATCTTCTAGTTCATTTTCAATCACCATCTTAGTGAGTCTTTCTGCCAAATTCTCCTCATGGTCACCCAACAAGTCCATCTCATCCCTTTCTCCATTGCCTGTTTGTTCATTAACTGCCACTGGTAGCTTCTCTTCCAACTCAGCCAGGCGTTCATGTGCTTCCTGCCAATCATCATCTATAAGACAATAGCGTGGTATAAGAAATACAGTTCATATCAAAACAAAGGTTTTATATATAAAATTCTTCCTTTAACCAAATGATAACCCAGCTCCAGAAGATAGACAGCAAATAAAGCTTCCATTTATTTAAAGACATGAAATAAGGTTGAAACAAGGAACACATAAAGTGGGCTTTTCATTATTAAGAACAAAAAATACAATGCCAAGAACAAAATTTGGCTTAATGACTTAAAACATTATCAGTGGTGTCCAAATTACAGTCTGAAATTGATTTCTAAAATGGTGATACAAAGTCAGATACAGTTGCATATGCCTGTATTCCCAGCTACAGGAGCAAGGCTGGGACAGGAGGATTTTAAGTGCGAAGCCAGCCTCATCAACTGAGTGAGACTCGCCTCAAAATAAAAATAAAAAGGGATGGGGATGTAGCACAGTGGTAAAGTACCATTACATTCAATCCCTAATACTATAATTAAAAAAACAAACTAGCGACACGTAAGTATAAGACCACCTGTTGGTTTTGAGATTTTACAATACTCCACACAAAAACTTCAAAGGAAAGTAAAATCTGTAGTACTAGTATAACTGTCTCTTAAATTGTAACTGCTATTTTCTTTACCTGATTTTTTAAAAATTTATTTTTTGTGTAGACGGACAGAATGCAGGGACCTTCTCTCATATAGCTTTTTCATTAAAGCAGGGGAGAGACAGATAATAGACAATAAAAATAATGAGGAAGTAAATTAGATACTGTATTAGAAGATGCAAAATGCTACAGGAATATGGAAGAAAGGCAAATCGAAAAAAATAGATATTCAGAAGAAGTCTGCACTGAGATGACATTTGAGCAGAGACTCAACGAATATGACAATAAGAGGGTAAACAGTCAAATGGAAAGGAATGAGCAAGAGGGAAGAGTAGAACAAAATAAAGTCAGAGTCTGGAGGAGGGAGGTTATTCAGGGTCTTCGACTCCACTCCAAAATGGGGCAGAGCTGATGGGTTAACTTTTGAAAGAATCACTAAGGCTACTGAATTAAAAGCAGATTAGAGGAGAAGTGTTGGGGGGAATGCTGGAAGTCAGGTGGCTACTGTAAGGGAGTATCCACTAGCCAAGGGAGAGGGGATGAAACTTTGACTAAGGCCAATTCCTCTTCTATTTTAATTATGTCTTTGCTATTCCTGCACATTGCTATTTGGTCTGCAGCACTAACATTGTTTTCTTATTTATTATGCTGATATAGCATTGACTTTTGAGTCCCATTACCACACAGACTAAAATCTTGTGAACCCTTCATCAAATTCTCTAGAATGAAAACTCTCACTCCAGTTCTCTTGGATCTAATCATTCTATTCTATTTCTATCATAAAAGCACTACTCACAATTCTGCTTCTTTTAGCATTCAAATGCAGAAACCTCTTTCTCCTCATTAAGCTTTCCAAAATATTTAAATTTTCATCTCACCTATACGTGCTACTTTAATGCACATAAATGTACTCTTCTGTATAAGCTATGTACTCTATTCTTACTTTAGTTATATGTCTTGTATGTTCTATAAAATTCCACATTCAGGGATAACAGGTAATCCCCTTTGTAGCTAACACAGAAATCTATATTGTCTTCTTTCTGTTTACAAATAAAATACAGATTAAAAAAATTCAAACATCACAATATATGACTTAGAATGTGAAAGTTCTTCATAATTCCACAGCTCTGTTCAGATTTTAAGAATGCAATCTGTAGTTTAACTTGATTCTTCTTGGATATACTTTCAAGCATGCATACGTGTATACACATATAACTGCTGAAAATATTATCTCATTCTTTTAAACATATATGTAAGATTGCATTCTATTGATGAACTGAATTGTAATTTATTCCCTACTGAAAAACCATCTGGATGATTTGCAACTTTTTACTATAACAATCAATACCATAAATAACCTTATACATACCACAGCATCTCAAATGAATATTTAAGTAGGCTAATTCCGCTGCAAGGTCAGACTAAGCATTTAAAATTTGCTATTTTTATAATATAATAATATATCACATAACCCTATTGATCCAAAAAGCAAGGGAAGTGGGATTTCAAATCTACAATTGTGTTATCCCAGGATCCACTGTCTGCTCTTTAGTCAATGTGATATACAATATAGGAGCTATGGTAAGGGGTTTCTTAAATAGGGATCACTTTGCCATTTCTGTAATAAAGGCTGTGGGCAAGAGTCACAAAATATCCCTATCTAAGCCTCTAAGATATGTGTTTTCATTCTTATGTGGAATTTTCTTTCCCATCCAAAAGCTTCCTCTTACAAAGTGCTTAGTCAGGTGGCACTCTTCCTCTGAAATTTCCTCTTACAGAAAAGAACTTGAAGTAACCACTTCATTATAATGGTCTCAATAAACATACCTAGATGTGCTTAAAAAAGGGAAAAATCCATTTTAGATGAAAATTATAGTACTAATTTAAATGACCAGTCATCTGAAACGTTCTTAAGGAATAGTGTAATAAATGATTGTGACTTTAATATTGGTGTCATCCTTGCTAAAAAAAAAAAAAAAAAAAAAAAAAAAGTAAGCTGAAAAAGGATAATTTTTTTTTTTTTTGAAATGTAACAGCTATGCCAAGAAGAGTGGGGAGTCTATAATCCTGAATTCAGGATTAAAACAATATATATTTTTAAGTTTCCCAAATTTAAACCATTAATTTGTTAGTGGATTAGTTTTAATGTAGTAGAGTTCTAAATTATCTTTGGTAGCCACTCCCCATATTCATATTTGCTAACTTTACCAGATTCTACCAAATAATTTATTTGCACTTAAAAATAACATTTAAAAATAGTCTAAATAGTCATGTTCTGTAAAAATGGACATATTGTGAACTGACTATTGCTTTTTTTTTGGTACTGGGGATTGAACTCAGGGGCACTCAACCACTCAGCCACATCCCCAACCCTATTTTTTTTGGGGGGGAGAGGGGGTACCAGGGATGGAACTCAGGGGCGCTCAACCACTCTGCCACATCCCCAGCCCAATTTTTGCATTTTATTAGAGACAGGGTCTCACCGAATTACTTAGCTCCTTGCTGTTGCTGAGGCTGGCTTTGAACTAGTGATCCCTCTGTCTCAGCCTCCTGAGCTGCTGGGATTACAGGAGTGTACCACCATGCCTGGTGACTGTTGGCATTTTAAACATGGATGCAAAGGAATCTATGCCATAAAACATTGCCAACATTATTTTTGGTTGTTCTTATGAAAAAAATCAGGAGAGGACTCATGCCCTTAGTTTGAAAGAATATTTCACTCTGTTACTTCTTCAAATGACCTAAAAATATAGTTACTTAGATGTGCCAACACTTGACCTTATTGCATCATTGGTTAAAAGGCTAAAGCATAGGCAAAAGAATAGCAGAGAAATGAAGGAAAAGGAGTATCTGTATTCTTCCAACTAATGACCCTGTACTGTGATGTGGGCTACTGAACTCCACGCTGCTTTTTCAAACACTTATACTTTAATGCCTCCCAGGCCTGTCTGGGATATTTCTGAATGAAAAGAAAATAAAAAGGAAATAGAAGTGATTTAATTTTAAGGCAATCTCAGTCCCCAAAGATTACAGCAGCTATCAAGAAAAGGGAAGGAGAAAGAATGAGAAGCCCATCCAAGCAAAGGCAAGAGATTTCCAAAGATTCCCCAAAGACTGTTTTAACATAACTGGTAATTTATACTGACTGTATTTATTACTTAATCTCTCAGTAACTCTGCTTCCTCATTTGTGAAAATGAGGATAATATTGATAACTACCTCAGAAGGTTACTGTGAGAATTAATAACATGTAAAACAATTAAAACGATACCAAGCACATAATAAGAACCATGTAAGGTGTAAACTTTTATTTTCAGAGAATGAGTTTGGGATCACTCTAACACCATTTATTGCTTCGAGATGATGCAAACTTTTTTAAAGGGAGTAGACCAATGATTAGTGTCCTATGGAAAGGTGATATCAGAGCTTTTGTAGCCAGTGACCTAAAATATCCACGGTATAAACAGGTGTTGTTCAAGATGTCAGCTCCATGAATTAAAAATTATCAATCAAAACCTATGTCAAAGATCTAACATTTCATCTACTGGCTTAAACTTCCTCTACCAGCTAAATCTGTAAGAAGTGTGCCAAACATATCACAGGTAGACTTAGCAATTTTCTTTTTAAAATATTTATATAAAGATGTTTTGAAGAATTAAGATTTTCACCTTACAATTCAAGTATACTACACTCTCAATGAAAAGCGCTCACCTGTGACATCTTTTCTCTATTATAACCTTGGCCAACCAAGAAGTCCTTCTTAATACCCTTCTACCCTATGGTACAAAGCAAACTAACCATATGCTATTTCACTGCCTTTAATTTTACTACCTGTTCTTTCACTGTGCACCCAAGAGCACTGTGGACTTATACTTCTTTCCTATCATATAAAATACAGTTCTGCACATTCTAATATTCTTTTAAAGGCAATATTCTTGTCTTGAAGGAAAAACAGAAACTCCGGGGGGTGGGGAGGAACTGCCCTTAGCACTCTGGAAGTCCATGAGAAGGCAGGACCCATTTCTCTCTGTCCAAGTTCAAAACTAAGGAAGGACACATTACTATGTTGTTTCATCTTAATATAGTAGCAATGAATCAATTTCAATTGACCAATTTCATCAACTGAAGAATGTGCTGAAAAATGATTTAATACCCAGTACATGTTTTAAAAGAAAAAGTTTAGAACCAAGAATACAATGTTATGACTTTTATTGTCTAGGTTATTATGCAATTTGCAATTCACATTAGTTCCCTCCATTTGTTTCTTATTTATTTATTTATTTAAAAATTTTTATTGTTGGTTGTTCAAAACATTACATAGTTCTTGATATATCATATTTCACACTTTGATTCAAGTGGGTTATGAACTCCCATTTTTACCCCGTATACAGATTGCAGAATCACATCAGTTACAACTAGTATGGCAATATGTAAATCAATGGATGTGTAGTTCCCTCCATTTGTAATTCTATTCTTCATAGCTTTCCCTGCCATCTCCGTGGAGATGGGCAATCTCATCTCCTAAACTATGACTACAATCCATAGGATCTTTATTTCCTTTCTGTAATGAGTCTAGTTTATACTTTTAACATTCTTCTTGCTGCTCTAGATCATGACAAAGTCACAGTTTCTACTTAATTTTATAAATGGAAGACTAGTAGTAAACTTTTTCATTTTTGCCAGTTCATTCAACTCTGTGCAAGCTTTCACAAACCTAAGCTATAAAGTCATCACAAAACACTATCCACTATAACTTTTATAAAACCTTTGTTTTTGATACTAACACATTGGTATCACCCACTGTTTTACATTTCCTCTTCTTCCTTATTTAATTTTGAATATTTGTTGCTGCAATTCTAAAGAAATTACAAATATTGACACACCACAATATAAACACTGCTATTGCTGCTTTCCAACACTAAGTCAAAACAACAATATCTACATTGACTCTGATCTATTCATTTCTTTAAAAAGTATAAATTTCTAATACTTAGTTAACTTGCTCTAAATTTGTTCTAAGTAAATTTTGTTCTCAAATGTAATCATATAGCCTTGCTTCTTAATTGTTTTATCCCAGCATTTACAACTCTGTAGCTTTAAGTCTACTTTAGCTCTTTTAACTTTTTTCAGCTCTTACAATATTTAATCTATATCTGGAGATGGATAAAATTTCATTTGTTTACAATACTTTTCAAACTTATGAAGATTTCCTATTGCTAAAATTCTTGGAATTAAAAGCTTTTTATTTTATTAAATACAACCATGTACTGGTGTTGGGCTAAATGTAGAACATGCAGAATACTAGAATCTGAATTCTCTATTAGTCCATGAGTTTTCCTTAGGTTACATCTTCTCCAAATAAAAATTCCTTTTATTTAGAATTATTTAAAATCTCTTTCAAATGTCTATTGATCTAAACATCTGAATTCCTTACGGTGGCAACCGAGAATCAAAACCAGATAGCTGGAAGACATAGGGCTTAGAGAATAAAAGATGACCAACCAGAAGAGCACAATAGGAGGATGAACTATTCTGAGTAAAGGACATACTATTCTCACCGAGATCAAGATTAACTTGCCAAATTAGTGAATAAGGTTACTCCTTCTAAGACAAAGTATTTGAGCAAGAGATGAAGATGAAACTATAAGCCTCTTGGGCTGGAGTTATAGCTCAGTTGGTAGAGTGCTTGCCTGGCATGTGCAAGGCCCTGGGTTCAATCTCAACACATACATACACAAAAGATGCCACTTACCAACTGCACCTGACCCAAATGTATCATCATTGAACTGATCAATCTCCTCATCTTCTTCTCCCAGGCCCTGAAATGCATCTTCATCTTCATCTAGAGGACAATCCTCCAAAGACTAAAAAAAAATGAAAAGAAGTTTTTCATGAAATTCAAATTCTCATTTATAATGTTCTAAAAATGTTCACCTTATCTTCTCAGTGAATATAATAGTTTTATTATGACCTTTTGTAAAGATGGCATTTTATACTCCTCAATTACCCTGACATTGGACGCTTTCAGTAGCTTGTTTCTGTTTCTATTCTTTATTCCTTACTTGAATTTTCCCCAAGCATCTTTTTTCTTTACTTTATCAAGAATCTAATGATAGCATTTTCTCATGCACACAAGAAATTAGGCCCACAGTATCCTTTACATCACCGGGTGGAACAGAGATGAAAATTTTCAAATTGCCAAAATGAGTACTTTTATGTATCTTTTTTAACTAAGTTCACATCTTTATCATTATTTTCATGCTGGGTTTTCAACAATTTCAGTGTTCTCTTTTAAAACTTTCTTTTCATTTTCCACCTCTTCACTTTGCTTTCTATAGGCCTAAACTCTAGTGAAAAAAAACAGAAATGAACTCTAGAAAAGCCATGATAAACACAGGCAACTCACTTTTCTGATTAATCCATTAACTATCGTGTGTGTGTGTGTGTGTGTGTGTGTGTGTGTAATGAAGTGCTGAGAATGGAACCCAAAGTAGTAGGTAGGTGCTCTAGCCCTCATTAGCATCATTTGAGAACATTTTTGTCTCAGGTTCTGTGCTAGGCCCTAGGTCCTGGATTCTTAAGTGGCGCCGCAGAGACAAATACCACTTACCTCAAATAGTTTGTTGTGAGGATCAAACAAGGCAAAGACTGCATATTGCTAAATAAAACCTAGATATTACCATAACACTTTCGGTACATTCTGTTTGGACCTGCCACCCCCCTCCCCATCTCTTCAGGTTTACTCAGCTTAATCTCCAAGTTTCCTTTTGGCAACTTCTGCTCATTGTATCTCATCATTCTCTCCATGTTTATACAAAGTCAGTTAACACTTTTATCAAGTATCTGTCCTTACTGGCCTTTCTACCCATCTTAGGGCCCACAAACTTCCACAAAGCAGTCTGCCACCACATCAGAGGCAACTTCCAGCGCACTCCCTTCCAAATCATCAAGATCCACTTAACCAAAACATCAAGATCGACTTAACCAAATCGCTGCTTTTTAAAATTGAAATGACTCTCAGGAATCACCTAGATCAGTCCTTCCACTTTATAAATCCAGAAACCTTGTGTCCAGCGATTAGGAGTGGCTCAAGGTCACTAAGCGAGTGGGCGATACGGTCTAGACTCCACATTCTGGAGCTGCTGCATTCCCCTCCGACGTCGTAGCCAAACCCACAGCTCACTCCACTCGTCCAGAAAGAACTTCAGCTGGACACGCCCCCTCCCGCTCGGAGCGCTCTCCTAGTAAACAGTCCGGGGCCCCAGCCAAAGGGCAAGTCCAGGCGCCCTGACCGAGGGCTGCCGGGGTGTACAGCGTGTACCCGTGGGTAACCCGGGAGAAGGGGGCTGGTTCTGGGTAGGCGGGAAAGTCGTCTCCGGGCATCCCCGGGTGGTTCTTCCTAAGAACAGCCACCCGGTGGGTGCAATGCTCTTCCCTCCACCGCCCCTCCCCGAGTGGGGGCGACGGGCGGTCAGGTTACCGCACTAACGGGCCCTCCCCACCCCAAAGCAGAAGCCAACTCTCCCCAGCGGCATCGGATGGGACAGTCCCGCCCCCCAAACCTCAAAGCTGGTTCCCAGACCTCGGACTAAATCCGCGACCCCAGGTCGGGGGCGCTGCGCTAGATCGCGCGACTCCCACGGCTCGCCCCCTCCCCCCAGGAGCACGGGACCGGAGCGCGGAGGGTGAGAGGAAAGGGGCGCGCGAGGAAGGGGGGGCCACTTCCGGTCGCAAGAGCTTACCTCGTAGCGGAACATTCTTGGGGAAGGGGGGAGGGAGCGGGGAGGGGAGTGGGGGAGGGAGGGAAAAAGCGCTGACTCCCCGGGCTCCTCCGCGCGCGGGTCCTCCACCGGCTCGCGACCCCTGGCCGCCGCCGTACGCCGGAACGTGCGTGGGAACGTGCGCAGGCGCGCCTCGGGCAGGGCAGCCGCCCCGCTCGGCGCCCGGCGGCGGCGGCTGCGCGGGGACGGATTTGGCGTCCCGCTTCCTAGTCTCAGCGGCGGGAAGGAGGTCCCGTGGTGAGAGACTGCGCACGCGCCGTCCGTCGGGGGCTTCATAGCTAGCCGGACTGGCGGCTCCGCCTCTGATTTCTCGGCTTTCTGCTCCGAGCGGAGAAGCTAGTCACGAGTTTCCCGTCACCGACGGGGCGGAGAAAGTCCTTGTGATTGTCACAGGATGTAGTTCTGCGGAGTCCTGGCCTTAGGTCGGGTGCGAGGAATAGAGGCTCCTGGGTTAGTTTTGCAAAGTCCAAGGCACGCTTTTCGGGGTTCCCGGGGGTCTTTAGGGCACGACCCTCGCCCGTGGAGGGAGAAACGGAGGCCAAGTTTGTGGTCCACGGAAGGAACGCTGAATCTGCAGCCGGTCGAGGCTGTGATTTATGCGGCTCAAAGTGATGACAGCGCCCGGCTTTAAAAAAGCCGAAGTCAAGTTCCGAGAGGTTTAATGAGGGTGATGGTGATGGTTTTAGGCTCCTGGAACTTCAGGCTCGCGGAACGGGAGATCCTTTGAAGGGAAGCACAGCCTGGGGCTGCGGGTCTCAGCCGGCGGCAAGTCAGGGGCCCTGAGTGCACCTATGGGTGACACCACTCCCTCTGGATTAAGCCCAGGAAAGGGCGGGTCCAGCTTCTAAACCTTGACAGCCTGGTTCCAGAAATCTGGTGGTTTGTTACCTATATAAGTTCTTCACGCCCTTTCAAGCCTACTCAAATCTTCTCTATTCCTGGAGGAACCAAACTTGTACCATGAAGAATTTATTCTTGTGGGTTTCACAACCCCTTTCTCCTGTTGTCTTTAAAACGCCGCCTCGCCTAAGAGTGGCATACTGTGAACTCCTTCCACGTTGGTGTGACGCGCCTTAGTCAGAGGTGGAGCACTGGAAACATTGGATTTGGAAATTACAAGTTCTGGGTGGGAATTGGCGCTTTGCCACTGGCGATGAGACTTTGGGCAAGTTTTCTAAACATCTGTGAAACTTCCTTTTTTTTTTTTTTTTTAAATAAAATGGGTTTAATTATGTCTGCCTCACCCAGTAGTGAGTCAACCACATGATGCTGATGTTACTAATAATAATGATTAAAGTCCGACTGGCTCTGCTAAGTGCTTTATGTGGATTATTTTGTTGAATCATTTCTTATGTTCACCCCATGAGGTAGGTACTATTACTTTCTCCACTTTATAATTGAGGAACCTGAGGCTTAGAGACATTAAATAATTTGTTTTCAAATCACCCGATGGCAAGTGTCAAACTTGGTGGTTGAGATATTTCTGATTCCCCAGCCCAGTCTCTTAATCACTGTACCAAAATAACAAAGGCAAATATTTACATGAGTCAGGCCTGAATCCTAAAGACTAGAGCAGGCCAGGGATAAGAAAATTGATTTTCAAGCATGAGCATAACATACTAGGTGCAGTGGGTCTTAATTACTGAAATTTTGGTGCTGTGTAGAGGACAAAACTATGGTTCAAAGTTGAATCTGTTCAGCCAAGTGTTTTTTGTAAGAAAATTTTGAATTGGAATATAGCCGTATTAATTTATTTAAAAATTGTCTTTGGTTGCTTTACTCCCATAAAGGCAGAATTGGGTAGTTACAATGGAGACCATGTGGCCTGTAAGTTATGAAAATATTTACTATCTGGCCCATTACATAAAGAGTTCACTGATCCCTGACCATGTTTTCTGATCATTGCATTAAAAATTAATAGTAAAAATAGATAAGAACAAAATTCCTTATTTTTCCATATTCAGAAATAGTTCATTTTCATATTTAGAAGTTTAAAAATCCCTCCCATTGATGGACTAATTAAGAAAATAATGGATCACTGAGTGATAAACACTTTTTTAAAGTTTTTTAGTTTTAGGTGGACACAATAACTTTATTTTTTTTTTTTTTTGTGGTGCTGAGGATTGAACTTAGTGCCTCATGCATACTAGGCAAGTACTCTACCACTAAGCCTCATCCCCAGCCCCTGAATGATAAACATTTTAATGTATCAAAACTTCTGGGGTACAGCTAAAGGAGTTTACATTAGAGAACAGGAAAGCCTGAATGTAAATTAACTACAGAATACACTAAAAAAAAAAAAAAAAGTACAGGGGAAGAGCCTGTGGGGTAGTGCATGCCTATGATCCCAGCAGCTTGGGAGGCTGAGGCAGGAGGATTTCAAATTCAAAGCCAGCCTCAGCAGTTTGGCAAGGTCCTGAGCAACTTATTTTGAGACCCTGTCTCAAGATAAAATATAAAAAGAGAAAGGGCTGGGGATGTGGCTTAGTGGTTAAGTGCTCCTGTCTTCAATATCTGGTATCCAAGTAAAAACATGAAAGGAAAGAAAGAATGCAGAGAAACCATTGAATGAACAGAAAATGGTATCAGGGTTAACAAAATTTCACATTTTTTCTCATGCAACACTGGTGTGAGGGAGATTAAGAGTCCCTTTGAGAGAATAATGTATTTTTTTGAGCTGTATAGTAGGCCCTATTTTAAGGTAGAGTACAAGTTCTTTTTACAGGTGATTCTTTAGACACCTCTGGGGAGATTGTAGGTGGAAGAAGAGAAGACTCCTGCAGGTCAAGTACATGAAGGAGATTTTTTTAAGCCAAAAAAGAACATCAAATAATGAAAGTCAGTAAGCTACACTAGCTTGCTTTGGTGTTATCTGTGCTTTCTCTAGGTGCTGTAAATAATCTATTTGTTGTGTTTAAAAACTTTACATTTTTTTAAGTTGGAAAAAACACATACCACAAAATCCTACTTTTTTTTTTTCTTTTTCTTTAAGTACTGGGATTTGAACCCAAGGGTACTCTACCACTGAACTACGTTGTCAGCCCTATTTATTTATTTTCTTGTATTTTAAATTTTCTGGTACTAGAGATTGAACTCAGGAGCAGTTTAACACTGAGTTACATCCCTGCTCCGTTGTTTTGAGATAGGATTTGGCTAAGTTGCTTAGGGACTTGCAAAATTGCTGAGGCCAGCCTCTGATTTGTGATTATCCTGTGTCAGCCTCCCAGTGGCTGAGATTCCAGGCATGACCACCACACCCAGCATGCCTTTTTATTTTGAGACAGGGTCTTGCTAAATTACCATGTAAGGCCTCAAAGTTGCAATCCTTTCTCAGCCCGTAGGCATGGATCACTGTGCCTGACCAAAATTTACTTTCTTGTGAGACTTAGTTTCAAATGATGTTTTCATCAAGTAACATCTCTATAAGTGATTTCAAAATTTTAGTATCTATCAAAATCACCAAGGGAGTTTGTTGAAATATAGGCCTCATTCCCAGTTTCTGATTCAGTAAGTCTGAAGTTGGGCCTGAGAATTTGCATTTATAACATATAATAGGTGATGCTGAAGTTGATGTTGCTGATGTTGCTAGTTCTGGGACTGCACTTTGAAGAATCCCGTTGTCCATGAGTGCCTTAGGAATTGGAGAAAAAGCTGTGGATTGCACATAGGGTAATTTTTAAAAATATTTTTTAGTTATAGTTGGACACAACATCTTTATTTTTTAAATTTACTTTTATATGGTGCTAAGGATCGAACCCAGGACCTCTGTACATGCTAGGCGAGTGCTCTATTGCTGAGCCACAACCCCAGCCCAAGGGTAATTTTTTATGTAGTCAAAAAAGTTAAACCTAGAAAGTAATGGCAACAAATCTTAGGAAAAAACCAATAATCCATATAATGAAAATATTTACAAGAAAATGTGGTAAATTACATATGGCTACAAATTCATTGACAATTGTCTTATCCAGAGATGAAATGTAATTGACTCTTTACTGAAATCTGGACTAGACTGAATGCTTTGACGAAAGGATTATGGGAGAGAAGATGCTGTCTCCTCTGGGTTTGATCTTTAAGGAGATTGAGGCCCAGCATGGTGGAGCATGCTTGGGCCTGCTCAGGAGGCTGAGGCAAGAGAATCTCAAGTTCAAAGCCAACCTCAGCAACTTAGACCCTGTCTCAAAATAAAAAGCAATGGGGAGGTAGATCAGTGGTAGAGCACCCCTGGATTTAAAGAAAAAAAAAAGATTTTTGCTGGTAAAATGAGAAAATGTTTTAAAGTTTAAGTATTTCTTTATGTACTAAAGATGAAAAATAGAGATCTCACTAGATAAACTATGGAGAGCAACAATGTGAATGAGAAAATATATAGGCCCTGGCCTCTTCTCTTGGATCCACAAAGGTGGCAACTTAGGTCTTGACAGTAAGAAACGATTGTAGGGACATCTCCTATGTAAGTATCTTCTTGACTGCCATTTAGAGGTAAGGAATATAGGATGGTTTTCTGGGGTAAATAATGACATTGGAAAATAAAAACAAAAAGCCACTTGTACATTTTTCAGTTACTTAACTGTCAAGAAAGGGGAGCTTTTGGTACCATTGCTTCCATTATTTCCTCTGACTTTGGGAAGTACATGGCAAGGAAAGGGGTATAAGAACTAATCCCCATATTATTTGTACAAATCCTAGGAAAGCATGATGCTTCACTTCTCCCTGGACCCCTCTCAGTGAGAATAAGTATATTTCTTATTCAACATTTTATTCTCATCACAACATCTACTTTTACTCTTAATAGTAATCGTTCAAACATTTTTGAGTTCTTGTAATGATAAGCCAATATATGGAACTGAAATGGCAAAATAAAAACACAGTTCTACCTACCTGTTCATAGGCAATACCATTCATTCACTATACCTTGTTGGTTCAGGCCCTCTTCAGGTAACCTTTAGCATCTTCTTACTTTGATTTTTGTTTGTTTGTTTGATTGTTTTTTGGTGTGTGTATTCTGTAGAATTACCACAGTAGTTTGAGTGGCAGCATCCTCTATAAAATATATGCTTGCCCATTCAACCAACAGCAGTGGCTGCCTAGCAAATGAGAACTGGGAAACTAAGAGGCAGGAGTAAGGGAGTCCTAAACAGCCCCTGCTGCCTATTTCTGTTGGCTCCCTTGGTCTAATGATTACTAGAATGTTTTCTATGGCATTGGTTGGACTCCTGTACTCACCTAAGTAGGAGAGGATAGTTTAGCTTTAGATTAAGCCAAAATTCAGACCCCTCCCTGGGACTCCTGTGCAGACCTTAGCTGTATCCCGTGTTTTGGACAACCCTTGCCAAACTTGTCAAAATTACTGAACACTGTTAAAAAGTCCCGAGGCATTCTGTTAACACAGAAGCCGGGTGGAAACTATAAGGATATTTAAGAATGAACTCTTAAACACTGTTGTTTCCTTCACCTAAGTAGCTGACATTTAAGATAGGAAAAATTTGACTATTAAGGTTTTCTTTTGTTTATCCCTGTTAATTCGATTAGCATACCTATAATGTAAATTACAACCCAGAATTTTGATGTTTAAATTTGAGGGTGTTGCAGCTATCCACTATGTACAACAAATCATCCTGGGTTTGCTGAATAAAACCAACGATGATGATTTATTTCACTAAAGAATCTGCAACTTAGTCTTTTGATGCCATGGGAACAACAACTCATCTCCTCTTCAGTGTCATCAGCGGGTACTGCTTGGAGGCTGAGGGTTATTTGGTGTTTGGAATCGGGAATCATCTGAAGTTTCACTGTCTGGCAGTTGGTGTTAGTCATCAGCTGGGACTTAGGTGGGCTGTTCAGCCACAGCACTCACCTATGGACTTATGGTTGCTAACTTTCTCCCCAGTGTGATGTTCCAAGATGTCCCTAAAGGGCCAGTTGGAAGGTGTATCTACGTTTAGGACCCATCCCCAAAAGTGAAAGAATGAGTACTCTGTCCATGATCGGGGGATTGAACAAAGCCAGAGAGACAACAGGGAAAGACTAAAAGATCTCCAGAACTGTCAGGATGCCCAGAAAGAATTACATAGGAATGTGGAGCAAACACGCAGCCTGGACAGCAAGAGAGATGTTGGCGTTACCCGGGAGATGGTCCATATGTATTAGCAGGGAAACCACAAAAACAAACCCCTGCACCTCCACAATGGGGGCAAATGGAACTGGATCCCTCCAGTTTGGTTTTCTCCCCCCATAAGAGGGGCACACTGGATTTTCTACGACAAAAGAGAGCAGATACTTGAGGAAAGAGTACTGTGGAGCACGAAGTTTTCTCACCTGTGGTTTTAATAATTCTAAGATGAGTTTATTTGTGCTATGCAGGGCACTCTTGCTGGTGTTTGTCACTTCACATTTTCAAGAGATTTGGCTGAAGGGAACCAGAAGGTCTATCACCAGGAAAAGGAGCCAAGTTAATTTGCCCTATAAGGCATTTTGTGGGGGAGGGGGGTACTGGGGATTGAACCCAGGGATGCTTTGTCACTGAGTTATACCCCCAGCCCTTTTCTTTTTTATTTTGAGACATAGTCTCCCTAAGTTGCTTAGAGTCTTGGTAATTTTCTGAGACTGGCCTTGAACTTGCAATCCTTCTGTCTCAGCCTCCCAAGTCACTGGGATTTCAGGTGTGGGCCACCATGCCTGGCCCTGAGTGGCATTTAAACTCAGGACATTGACTTTATTTTTATTTTTGTAAGAATGAGCTGAGATAATAAGCCCTGGTATTCTGAATTTATAAATTGTCCAGAAGTCACACAGGTCCTGCTTCCATGACCCATAATATACACTGGGGTCATATTGCATATTGTCTTATATAAAGGTGCTCTGTGTGTGTGTGTGTGTGTGTGTGTGTGTGTGTGTGTATGTATATATGTGTTTTGGAGAGGTTTCTTCCTATAGAGATAAAGAGGGCAGCAATTGCAGTTCAGCAGCCCTAAGCATAATGATCTATTGCTGGTTGTGCTCCAGTCAGCTCTGAGTCTTACAGTACACTGGCCACAATATTCCTGTACCTCTTATAAACTGTTATGCTTCTAACATTCAAAAAAGTATAGCAATTATATACAAAGTAGCAATGTATACATAGCAATATCTGGATTTGGACAGTTGATAGTTCTGATCACAATTAGAGAGTGCATACATTCTAATGTATGTTGGAATATCAAGTACAGTAGCCTGTACAACTTTGTAAAATGTTTAGTTTTATGATAATTTTGTTATTTATTTTTAAAGTTTCATTTAATTTTAGTTTTTTCCCTATCTTAATTGGTACATTATATTTATACATAATGGTAGGATTCATATTACATATTCATACATGCACATGATACAATATAACATGGCCAATCTCATTTCTCAGTATTTTATACAATAGAGCATCAAGTAGAATATCCTGTACAGCTTTCTAAAATAAAGCTTTAATTTTTTTTTTTTTTTTTTGGTACTGGGGGTTGAACTTAGAGGCACTCACTGAGCTATATCCTCAGCCCTTTTTATTTTTTTATTTTGAAAAACAACACTAGGTTGCTGAGGCTGGCTTTGAACTTGTGTTCATCTACCTTCAGCCTCCCGAGTTGCTGGGATTATAGGCATGTGCCTGTGCACCTGGCTAAACATTAAATTTCATGGTAATTTGCTTCATATCTTTATTCCTCAAAGATGTATGATCTTTTGCAGGATAGGATGAAGATAATTATCTTCTGATCTTCTAGTGTGATAATGAATAAATGTTTGTCAAATGAATAAGTAAACGACCAAGTCTCTTTAAAAACAAGGAACGGATTTCATTAGGTGGAATAGATGACCTGAGTATAAGCCGTGGAGAGAGACCGGATGCCCAGCAGCTCAAGGACAAGTTGTTATAGGAATTTCATGTTTCTGCAATGCGCTGATGATCATTACTCATTTAATTTTCCAAAGATTTCCGCAAGTAACAAGATAGATATGAATGTCTCCATTTATGACCAAAGTACAGAGAGAGTAATTGAGCCATTATCTCACAGCTATTCAGAGGTGGAAGAGGCTAGCACAATTCTTGGCTTCATTTTTTAAAAAAATATTTTTTTAGTTATATATGGACACAATATCTTTATTTTGTTTATTTATTTTTATGTGGTGCTGAGGATTAAATCTAGTGCATGGAGACAAGTGCTCTGCCACTGGTCTCATCAGTGACACTCTTGGTGAATTCAGGACCAAGAAGCAAATCTTTCCCCAGTTGAAGGTCTCGTGTGTGTGTGTGTGTGTGTGTGTGTGTGTGTAAGAATGACCTGAGTGATCTAGAGGACAGGACACAGACCTACACCAGAACTCCTAGCTAATCCCCAGGGTCTACAGGGTTTCTGTGGGGTTGGAGCTACTCTAAAATACTCCTGATGTAGGAGGGGTGTGGTGAAGCACTGTGTAGCATGCGCAAGATATTCGACTTGGTCCTCAGCATCACTCACAGACACTAAAATAATACTGAGTCAAATCAAAATTTCATTGGTCAGACTTGGCTTGATCTGTAAGGACCTCGGGTATGCTCATAATTAAAGCTGAATTTTATTTGCTGACCAGTGACAAGCTGTGGTCCTTGAAAACACAGTTGCACTGATTGTCTTTGGGTTCACAAATTGGCCATAATGTGTGTAGGGTTAAAAACTTGAATACTGGGAACCAACAGACCTGGGACTGTCATGTGGCTCCACTACTTACCAGCTGTGTGACATTGGCAAACTTAATCTCTATGAACTCTGGTTTCCTTATCTTCATAATGTAAATATTATTAACAACTATCCTGTAAAGTTGTGCGTATTAAGTGAGATAATGATCATTAAATGAGTTGTACTGTGTCTGATGTTGGTAAGTGTTCATTAAAGTCTAGCTGTTACTATAATTGATTTCTTAAAAGAACTGTACTCATGGCCCTATGTGTTCTTATTCTCTGATATAATCATGTGTAATATCCCTGATGATCATTTTTTCTATTTTCAGGTGTCTTTTAACCACAATGTATTTTGATACCTCTGATTATCCCCATTGGGCAAAGTGTGTTACATCTTTACAGACGTCTTGTGAGGTTGAAATTATCATTTCTGTTTTGCCCATCAGTCAGTGGAAGTCCACCCAGGCTAAGCACATGCTCAGCATCCAAGTGCTTCAGTGCCAGGTAAAATCCATATTTTTTACTTGAAATTCTTTTTTTTTTGTCACATTAAACTCCCATTAGTCTGTATTTTTGTGGCTTGAATAATTTTGCTTCTTGTTATTGGTGCTGAGTTATAGAATAACATTTTTCTACGATTGTCTTTTTCATTCCATGTATATCCTATAGAATGAGTATTTCCAAGGTCAGCTGACTCCTAACGCATCTTTGAATTAGTGAAAGATGCTTCTTTGTCAAGTTAAAAATTAAATTTAACAAATTATTTCTCAAAAACAATTAGAGCAACCATGAATTCTTTTTGTGTCAAATATACTGATCAAATTTTGAATGTAAGTAATGGAAAAATTGAACATTCAATCATAATATTAACTGAAAGCTAACAAACAATATAAATTTGTTATAAATATTTATGCATCTTTTATGAAAAATAATTTTATGAGCATTTCAATGCTTACTAGTTCTAATATCTCAATTTCTATAGGCATCATCACTAGTTTTCACTATCATCTTTCTTATGCCATTGCAGGCTTTAGGTTTTTTTTGTTTTTTACATTTTTAATGCTAGGGTTTGAACTCAGGACCTCAATACATGCTAGGCAAGTGCTGTATCATTGAGCCACATCCCCTGTTCTTTTATTTTTTAATTTTTTTAAAGAGAAAGAGAGAGAAAATTTTTTTTAATATTTATTTTTCAGTTTTCGGCGGACACAACATCTTTGTTTGTATGTGGTGCTGAGGATCGAACCTGGGCCGCACGCATGCCAGGCGAGCGGCTTGAGCCACATCCCCAGCCCCATGTTCTTTTAAATTTTTTGTCTTGAGACAGGGACTTGCCAAGTTACCCAGCCTGCCCTCAAACTTGGGATCCTCCTGCCTAAGCCTCCCAAGTTACTGGGATAATAGGCATGTGACATTATGTGTGACAAGTTTTTAGTAAATATTGAATTAGAAAAGCCATATGCTGCCTCAGTGATTGACATCAGCAAAGTTAAAAATAAGAACTAAAAATTCTGAGAGATCAATAGTATTTGAAAATGTATATAGTAAATTATGGCTATAAATATATTTCCTTATTTCAACAGGGTCCTCATACTACAGTATAGAGAACTAAGGGTATGCATTCCTCATACACTAAGTTTACATTAACATTAAATTCTTTGGGTGGTGGGTAGCAGGGTTAAACTCAGGGGCACTCCACCACTGAGCCACATACCCAGCCCTATTTTGTATTTTATTTAGAGACAGGGTCTCACTGAGTTTCTTAGCGCCCTGCTGTTGCTGAGGCTGGCTTTGAACTTGTGATTCTCCTGCCTCAGCCTCCTGCCCTGCTGGGATTACAGGTATGTGCCACTGCACCTAGCACATCATATTCTTTATTGTGTTTATCACTTGCTATCAATTATATATTTTTATGATGGCTGCAGTGCACTTTCTTCATGATTCTGTAAATTACACCTGCCAACTAGAATACACATTTTCCTATGTCCTAAAAAAAAAAACAGACCTTTTAAATTTTTTTTTTAACTTTTTAAAAATAACAGTTTTGTGTCTATATTCATCTGGGATATTGTCCTGTACCATTCTCTTCAGGTCAGGTCCTTGTCTAGTTTTAGCATCAGGTTAGTCTTGGCACATGGCAAAATGTGTTGGAAAGTGTTCATTTTTTTAAAGAGTTTGAGAAGAATTGCTATTCCCTTTAAATGATTGGGAGAATTTAGCAATGAACCATCTGGTCTGGGACCCTTTTTTGTTGGGAGATTTGATGACTGGCTCAATCTACTTACAGTTATAAGCCCATTCATATTTTCTACTTTTTCATGATTCATTCTTGGTAGGTTATGTTTCTAGGAATTGATCCATTTCTCCTAGGTTATCCAGTTTGAGGTATATAACACTTCATAGTAGTCTCTGGTGGTCCTTTTTTATTTTTTTAAATTTTATTTATTGATTCATTTTAGTTATTGATGGACCTTGATTTTTTATTGATATATGGTGCTGAGAATCGAACCCAGTGCCTCACACATTCGAGGCAAGCACTTTACCCCTGAGCCACAACCCCAGCCCTCTTGTGATCCTTTTTATTTCTGTTGTATGAGTTGTGATGTGCCCTCTTCATTTGTGATTTTGAGTCATCTCTATTTTTCTTTGTTACTATAGCTAAAGGTCTGTCAGTTGTTTTTTAAAGAGAGAGAGAGAATTTTTTAATATTTATTTTTTAGTTTTTGGCAGACACAACATCTTTGTTTGTATGTGGTGCTGAGGATCGAACCCGGGCTGCACGCATGCCAGGCGAGCACGCTACCGTTTGAGCCACACCCCCAGCCCTGTCAGTTGTTTTCATACCTTCAGAACACCAACTCTTAGTTTTGTTGACCTTATCAATTGTTTTTCTAATCTCTATTTCATTTATTTCAGGTCTGATCATTGTTATTTTCCTTCTTCTTCCATCTTTGGGCTTAGTCTTAGTTTGTTCTTTGTCTAATTCCTTGAGGTATAACTGTAAGTAATGGAAAAACTGAATTTTCAATCATAATGTGAACTTTTTGTCAGTCAGCTGACATTCCATTGCTCAGAGAGAATCTTGACCAAGGCCTAAACCAATGAAGGTGGCCAATATCCTTGGCGGGTACTGCAGGTTTACATGGCAGAGGTAGAGGGTCAAGAATGGAGAACAACATGCTAAATCTGTGACACATTTTTGCAGTTAAATGATGCAATGTTTATCTTTTTCAAAAAATTTTTATCTTAGATGATATCAAAATACCTGAGTAGCAAGGAAAATGAACTGTATGCATCCAGCATTCAACTTCAACCTTTGGCAGTTGTTAATTCTTGGCTGCCTTTTTTCATTTATATTCCTACTTAACTCTTTTTAGTTAGATTCCACGTATGTAAGGATCTATCTCTAAGAGAAAATTTTTAAAAAGTATTGTCACAACTCCTTGAACAACTTCTTAAGAACATGTAGAGTCTTAACCAGTTATGGAAAATTATATCAACAATAAGCTTGTAATGATGTAGGAAATGAACATAAATTAAAATGAAAGAGGAGACCATGTAACAGCAAGTATATTAAAAATACAGTATAGCAGAGATGAAACAGATTCATCAAAATGTTAAGTTATTTATTGGCACTAATTCTTATCACTAGTTTATTGAAAAGGAAGCATAAAAATGTAGAAAGGGCAATATCCTTACCATCAGAGGATTCTGCAAATTGCTCAAACTTACAGAATGTGGTTGTACTTCAGAGTTGCCAAATGAGGATGAAATAATATCACTTACCATCATTATTATTTTGAGGATCAAATACATAGTGAAAACATTTGTAAATAAAAACTTTATATATAATTTTAAGATATGATTTCTGAGACCAAATCCCTATCTAGAACCTGAGCATTGACATCTACAATGGCAAGGTCCAGAAAGCAGGCTGTGGAAAGTGGACTTAACAGTTGGTTTTATATGGTCATTTGAAAAGAGCACTGGGCGGATGGCTTTGCTTGGGTTTCAGGTCTGGTGTCACCAAAACTAGACTTGTGACTTTCTCAGAGTTCCCCTATACCAGGTTAATCTCTTTACTGTCTCCCTGGGTTGATAGTCATATTCTGGGTTCAGATCTACAGAGGAAATAGACCAATTAAGATATGGGATCTGATTATCTTAATAGTTGCAGGAAAAAAAACATTTGACAAAATATAGCACCCCCTTCATATTCAAAACACTAGAAAAACCAGGGATGGTAGGAACATACCTCAACACATTGTAAAAGCTCTATATGCTAAACATCATTCTAAATGGAGAACAATTGAAAGCATTCCCTCTAAAAACTGGAACAAGACAAGGTTGCCCCATTTCACCATTTTTATTCAATATTGTCCTTGAAACTCTAGCCAGAGCAACTATACAGGAGAAAGCAGTTAAAGGGATACGAGTAGGAAAAGAAGAACTCAGGCTATCACTATTTGCTGATGACATGATGTTATATTTAGAAGATCTAAAAAAATTTCACCAGAAAACTTTTGAAATGTGCCTAATAGAAGAAAAAAGTAGGCCCAAATCTTCATCATGTCAGCTTAGGATCTGACTTCCTAACAAGACTCCTAAAGCACAAGAAGTAAAATCAAGAATCAATAAATGGGATGGATTCAAACTAAAAAGCTTCTTCTCAGCAAAGCAAACAATCAATAACATGAAGAGCAAGCCTATAGAATGAGAGAACATCTTTACTACACGCACCAGATGGAGTATTAATCTCCAGGATATATAAAGAAATCAAAAAATTCAGCAAAGTAGCAGGATATAAAATCAACACCCATAAATCAAATGCATTCCAATACATCAATGATGACTACTGAAAGAGAAATTAGGAAAACTACCCCATTCACAATAGTCTAAAAAAAATACTTGGGAATAAATCTAACAAAAAAGTGAAAGACCTCTACCATGAAAACTACAGAACACTGAAGGAAGAAATTGATGAAGACCTTAGAAGTTGGAAAGATTTCCTATGCTCTTTGGTAGGCATATTTAATATTGTCAAAATGGCCATACTACCAAAAGCATTATACAGATTTAATGCAATTCCTATTAAAATCCCAATGACATTCTTCATAGAACTAGAAAAAGCAATCATGAAATCCATTTGGGAAAATAAGAGACCAAGAATAGCAAAAGCAGTCCTTAACAAGAAGAGTGAAGCAGGAGGCATCACAGTGCCAAACCTTAATCTATATTACAGAGCCATAGTTAAAAAAAAATGGCATGGTATTGGCACCAAAACAGACACATAGACTAATGGTACAGAATAGAGACAAACCCACATAGATACAGTTATCTCATTCTAAACAAAGGTGCTAAAAACATTCACTGGAGAAAAGAGAGCCTCTTCAACAAATAGTGCTAAGAAAATCAGAAATCCACATGTAACAAAATGATATTAAACTTCTATCTCTCACCATGCACAAAAATCAACTAAAAGTGGGTCAATGACAAGCACTAGAATAGAGACCCTGTGCCTAATAGAAGAAAAGGTAGGCCCAAATCTTCATCATGTCAGCTTAGGATCTGACTTCCTAACAAGACTCCTAAAACACAAGAAGTAAAATCAAGAATCAATAAATGGGATGGATTCAAACTAAAAAGCTTCTTCTCAGCAAAGGAAACAATCAATAACATGAAGAGCAAGCCTATAGAATGGGAGAACATCTTTACTACATGCACCTCAGATGGAGTATTAATCTCCAGGATATATAAAGAAATCAAAAAATGCAACACCAAAAAGATAAATAACCCAGTCAATAAATGGGCTAAGGAACTGAACAGATAATTCACAGAAGAAGAACTACACTTGGTCAACAAATATATGAAAAAATGTTCAATATCTCTAGCAATTAGAGAAATGCAAATCAAAACTAAGATTTCATCTCACTCCAGTCAGAATAGCAATTATCAAGAATACAAGCAACAATAAATGTTGGTGAGGATGCTGAGGAGAAGGTTCACTCATACATTTCTGGTGGGACTGCAAATTGATGCAATCATTATGGAAAGCAGTATGGCAATTCCTCAGAAAACTTGGAATGAGACCTCTATTTGACCCAGCTATTGCACTCCTTGGTTAATACCCAAAGGACATAAAATCAGCATACTACAGTGATGCAGACACATCAATGTTTATAGGAGCTCAACTCAATAACTAAACTACGGTGACTTTCAGCAGATGAATGGATAAGGAAAATGTGATATATATGTTATGGATTATTACTTAGCCTTAAAGAAGAATGAAATGAAGGCATTTGCCCATAAATGAATGGAGCTGGAGAATATCATGCTAAGGGGCTGGGGATGTGGCTCAAGCGGTAGCGCGCTTGACGGCATGCGTGCGGCCCGGGTTCGATCCTCAGCACCACATTACAAACAAAGATGTTGTGTCCGCCGAAAACTAAAAAATAAATATTAGAATTCTCTCTCTCTCTCTCTCTCTCTCTCTCTCTCTCTCTCTCTCTCTCTTTCTCTCTCTCTGTCTCTCTCTTTCTTTAAAAAAAAAATATCATGCTAAGCGAAACAAGCCAATACCAAGAAATCAAAGGCCAAATGTTTTCTTTGATATATGGATGCTAATTCACAATAAACAAGGGTGGGGCTAGGGAAGAATAGAGTTACTTTAGGTAGAGGGGAGTGAAGGGAGGAGCAGGGGTATAGAGATAGGAAGGATAGTAGAATGAATAAGACATTATTATTATTATTATTATTATTAAATATTTATTTTTTATTTTTTTAGATGGACACAATATCTTTATTTTGTTTTTATGTGGTGCTAAGAATCGAACCCAGTGCCTCACACATGCTAGGCGAGAGCACTACCACTTGAGCCAATCCCCAGCCCTGAATAAAACATTATTACACTACGTACATATGTGACCAGTGTGATTCTACATCATATAAAACCAGAAGAATGAGAAATTCTACTCCATTTATATATGATGTGTCAAAGTTCATTCTGCTGTCATGTATAACTAATTAGAACCAATATAAAAAAAAGATAGGATCTGAGTTTTCATTAAAGCAGATGGAAGATTAGAACAAAGGATTTCATATTTGCAATCATTTAATGTACAAAAACAGATCACTTTGAGAACTTGTTTGTTTCCTTCAGTGTGAGCAGGACTTAAGAACATTTAAGGTTAGTTTCTACCTCTTTGTGTCGCTGGGTGTACGGCAATGGACAAATCTTTTAACTATGTTGATACCAGTTTTTCAATCTGTATCAAATGTGTTTTATAATTTCAGCTTCATAGGGGTGCTATTAAAAGGATAGGGGTAATAACATTCTTGGACAAGTTTTGTATATGCAAACTACTCTACGTTTGTGAATTGATGTTACTTCAGTGTTCAAAGGGATGTGTTGTCTGGAGGTATGCATTGCCTGTTTCATCTTAATGAATGAAGCTGATTAAGGGAAAATCAAAGGCCATGGGTATTTTTTTTTTTAAAGAAACAAAAGAAATAGTTAGCTTCAAAACTTGGACACAAACCAGAAATGGATCTGGAGTTTCAAATGTTGACATTGGAGCAAGAGATTTGTCAAGAGACCAAGGCATAAGTGTAGTAATTATCCATCGCCCAGATTCATTACCCTGGGTCTTATTACATGAAGTAGGGAACTTTAGGGACATATATGTGGGCATGATATAATAATTCTCAGATGACAGTGTGTGGCCTTCAGGTATAATTATCAGAGTCAAGAATTAAATCTGTCCTAGAACTCAGATAATAACTGGAGACAAAGACTTGGCACACATCTACATGTAAGATGCCAGTTTCCAAACGTTGGGGTGAATAGTTCAGAGGTATTTTTTGTTGTTGTTCAATGTACAAGCATAGATAACTCTTTTAAAATTTTTCTTTAAAAAATGTTTGTGTTCTTATCTTAATGAATTAAAGTCAGCATACTATAGCCATTCATGCATACCCATGTTTAAAGCAGCACAATTTACAATAGCTAAACTATAGAACCAGCCTAGGTGTCCACCAATGGATGAATGGTTAAAGAAATTATGGTATATGTACAAAATGGTGTTTTATTCAGCCATAAAGAAAATGAAATTATGTCATTTGCAGGGAAATGGGTGGAATTTAAGAACATTAGGTTAAATGAAATTAGTCAAACTTGGAAGGCCAAGGGTCATATGTTTCCTCTCCTATGTGGAAGCTAGAAGGGAAAAAGCAAAAGAAATGTATGTGTTGGGGGGAATCTCATGAAAATTGAAGGGAGATTAGTAGAGTAGGGGAAAGGGACCAGGGGGAAATTATGTTGGCTAAATTGCATTATAATATCACGTGCATGTATAAATTTGTAACAATGAATTCCACCATTAGGTATAATTATAATGCACCAATAAAAATATAGAAAAAATTGTGTTCAATTATTTCTCTTAAAATTAAAAAAAATTGTGGAGTAGAGATCTAGCTGAACCATACTGCAGCCATCTTGAGTCATAACTGCTATCATTGCCCATGAGTAACCCTGGTCTGTTTTGCCTCAGTTTTCCAGAATACTGCAAATCAACAAAAACTTTATCCTGGTATGTGAAACTTATGATTGGACCCTGCTATCATCAGAGCCAAGGAGGTGCCTGACATCCTTGATCCTTGATGTTACCTTGAAAAAAACCAGGTCTATTCTTGTTTGGATGAAAGTCACTTTTGTTCTGACCACTATGTAAGCTTCCTTTCTCTGGCTCGAATTGCAGGAACCACTGGTCTTGATGCCACTCTTGACCATGACTCTATAATAAAGTCCCTAATAACTCGCACTGTGTGCAATCCTGTGTCTGTGTCCTTTCTTCTCTCTCCTGGCACCTTTCACCTATGACAGTTAGTTCTTTCACACTGGATTTTCCTGGATCATTGTGAGAACATTTAACCTGAGATCTGTCCTCTTCACATAGTTTTTTATGTGTATAACAAAATATCATTAACTATAGACAAAATGTAGCACATCAGATCTCTGGAACTTATTCATCTGACATTCCTGAAACTTTATATCCATTGATTAGTAACTTCCTATTTCTCCCCTCTTCCTTATTCCCTGGAAACAATGATTTTATTCTTTTCTTCTTGGACTATTTTGATAACTGAGAAAGGTAGAATCATGAATTATTTATTCTGTGACTGGTTTCTTTCACTAAGCACAATATCTTCAAGATTCTTCCATTTTGTTGTATATTGCAGAAATTTCTTCCCTTTTAAAAATCAATGTTATTCATAGCTATAAACACTTATGGGTTTATATATAAAAGTTTTGATATATTATGCATACAATGTGGAAAGATTAAATAAACCTAATTAACACCTTCATCCCATTGTTTTCCCAAAACTTTTTACGGTGAGACATTTGAAATTTACTTTCTCAGTTATTTTGAAATATACAGGGGCTGGGGTTATGGCTCAGCAGTAGAGTGCTCGCCTTGCATGTGCAAGGCCCTGGGTTCAATCCTCAGCACCACATATAAATAAATAAATAAATAAATAAATAAAATAGTTAAAAAAAAAAAAACCCAGACAACTCAATGTAGCCCACTAAAAAAAAAAAAAAAAGAAATATACATTGTATTATTGTTGACTATAGTCAGTACTGTGCAGTGTATCTCAAAACCTATTCCTCCTATCTACCTGAAACCTCATACCTTTTTAAAAATTTTTCTTTTAGTTTGTAGACGGACACAATAACTTTAATCTATTTATTTATTTTTGTGTGGTGCTGAGGATCGAACCCAGTGCCTCACATGAGCCGGGCAAGCACTCTATCACTGAGCTACAGTCCTAGCTCCTGGGATTTCATACCTTTTGATCAGCAACTCCCCATTCATTCCATCCCTACTTCCCCAGCATATTATAACCATCTTTCCCCTCTCTACTAATATGAGTTCAACTATTTTAGACCCCATACATAGTAGACATGCACTGTCTTTTTGTACCTGGATAATGTCAAAATAATGTTTTTCATATTGATCCTTGCTGAATATGACAGGTCCTCTCCCACCCCTATTAATATTGAATAGTACTCCATTACCTATAAATCACATTTTCTTTGTCCATTCATCCTTTGATGGCCAAAGGTTGATTCTATTCTTGCCTATTGTGAATAATGTTGCATTGAACATGGGAATTCAGATATTCCTTAGCCTTACAGATTCCAATTCCTTTGGATAGGTACCCAGAAGAGAAAGTACTGGCTTATATGGTAGTTCTGTTTTTAATTTTTTGAGCAATCTCTGTACCGTTTTCCATAATGGATGTACTAATTTATGTTTCCACCAACAGTATATCATGGTTTCCTTTTCTTCAGATCATCACCAACACTTGTTATCTTTCATATTTTTAATTATTGCCAATCTAACAGTTGAGAGCTTTTATCTCATTGTGGTTTTAATTTGTATTTCCTAACTGATTAGTGAAAATGGACACTTTTTTCATGAATCTATTGGCTATTGATATCTCTTTTTGAGAAATGTCTGTTCAGGTTCTTTGCCTACCTTTAAACTGAGTTGTTTTCTTGCTATTGAGTTGTTTAAGTTTACCATGCATTTTGTATATTAACTTCTTACTAGACATATAGTGTACAAATATTTTTTCCATTAATGTGGGTTTTCTCTTCACTTTATTTCCTTTGTCATGCAGAAGCATTTTAGTATGATGTAGTTATATTTGTTTATTTTTGCTTTTGTTGCTTGTGCTTTTGAGGTCATATTAAAAACAAATCACCACCTACAGCAACATCAGGGAGCTTGCTCTCCATTTCTCTTCAGGTCTTAAATGTAAGTCTTTAATCTCTTTTGAGTTGTTTTTTGTATATGGTATGGGACAAGGGTCCACTTTCCTCCTTCTGCATGCAGAAAATTATTTTTTTCAGCACCATTTATTGAAAATACTGCCCTTTCCTACTTATATGTTTTTTAGCACCTTTGTGGAAAATCAATTGACTGTAATTGCATGATTTTATTTCTTGGCTCTCTATTTTATGCATACAAAGAATTCCATATAGACTCCACCAAAAATAGTGAGAACTAATAAATTTAGTAGAGAGCCAGGATACAAAAATCAACAAATGAAAATTGGTAGTGTTTCTTTATACCAACAAGAAACTATTCAAAAAAGAAATAAAACTAGCTTCCTAACCAACCCTCCCCCCTTCAATACTGGGGATTGAACCCAGGGCTTCACACGTACTAGTTGAACACTCTACCTCTGAGATACACCTCCAGTCCTTTTGAAAAATTTTGTTTTCATAGTAATGTCTCAATAAATGCCTGTAGAATTTTTGTAAAAATATAATAATTTTGTTTTGATACAGGGTCTTGATATATTTCCCAAGCTGACCTTAAATTTATGATCCTCCTGCCTCAGCCTTCTGAGTAGCTTGGGATTATAAGCATGCATCATCGCACCTGGCCCAACAATCTCCCACCCTTTTTTAGATACCTGGAATTGAACCTAGAGGCACTTAACCATTGAGTCACAACACTAGCCCTTTTTTGTATTTTATTTTGAGACAGTATATTGCCGAATTGCTTAGGGCCTCCCTAAATTGCTGAGGCTGGCTTTGAACTCATGATCCTCCTGCTTCAGCCTCCCGAGCCACTGGGATTATAGGCGTGCTTGCCACCACACTCTGCTACAATCCCATTTTTAATAGTTAGGAAAAGTAAAATACCTAGGAATAAATCTAACCAAAGAATAAAACTTTCTATATACTGAAAAGTATAAACATCAATGATAGAAGTTAAAGAAAACACAAATAAATGGAAAGATACTATATTCATTGATTGGAAGAACTAATATTGTCAAAATGTTCATACTACCCATCATCCAGATTCAATACAATCCCTATCAAAATTTCTACAGCAATCTTCACAGTAATAAAACAAAATGATGAAATTTGGATACAGCCATTAAAAGAATGATGAGAAAGATGAAAAACGTTGGAGGTATAATGCTTCCTAATATTGAACAATTACAAAGCTCTACTAATTCATATAATACAGTACTGCTATGAAAATAGACACATAGACCAACAGAAAAGAGAGCCCACAAATACAGCAACACATATATGGTTCACTCATCTTTGAGAAAGGTGCCAATAATACACAACAGGAAAGGTTGATTTCTTCAAAAAATGTTGTTGGAAAAAACTAGGCATATGTATTTTAAAAAGAATTTTTTTAGTTGAAGATGGACACAATACCTTTATTTATTTATTTATTTTTATGTGGTGCTGAGGACAGAATCCAGGCCTGACACATGCTAGGCAAGCATTCTACCTCTGAGCTACAACCCCAGCACCAGGCATCCATATTTTTAAAAATAGAACGAAACTGAAATACTGTTACACATTATACATAAACTTAGCTTGCAATGAATGGATTCAAGACTTAAAGATAAGACTTGTATCTTTAAAACACCTTTAAAATTGGGAAAAAAATCTCAACACTGGTCTTGCCAATAATGCATGGATATGTCACTAAACCATAAGAAAAAAGGGGGGGGGATAAAAAATAGGATTTCATCCAACTAAGAAGCTTCTGTTCACAAAGGACACAATCAACAAAATGAAAGTTCACATGTGGAATGAGAGAAAATATTTAAAAGCCATTATATGGTGATTCATTAATATCTATAGTATATGAGGAACTCTATCAAATAACTAGCAAAACTCCCAAATAATCTAATTTAAAAATGGAAAATGAGCTCAAAGGACATTTTTCAAAAGAAGGCATAGAAATGGCCATTAGTTACTTGACAAGCTCTATATTGCTAGTCATCAAGGAAAAGTCCCTATAACCACAATGTGATGTTACTTCAACCTGTTATGATGGCTATGATCATAGGACAATAGATAAGAAACACTGAAGAGTGTTGACACTGTGGTGGGAATGTAAACTGGTACAGGTGTTAGACAAAACAGAATGGTGGTTCCTCCAAAAGTTGAAAATAGAACTAATACATGATCCAGCCCTTTCACTAGTGGGTGTGTGTCTGAAGGGAACTAAAGCAGAAACTTGAGGACATACCTGCACTACCATATTCACTGCGCTGTTATTCCCAACAGCAAAGATATAGGAAGAGCCTGTCAAAAGATTAATTGATAAGAAGTGGCATATAAATATACAATGGAATATTATCCAATCATAAAACAGAAGCAAATTCTGCCATTTGCAATAACATGAATGAACCCCAAGGGTGTTTATTCTAAGTGAAATACACAAGAAAGAGAAAGACAAGTCCTATATGGTATCACTAATTTGTGGACTCTTAGAAAAGATATTCATAGGAATAGAAAGTAGAATGGTGACTGTCAGGGAATGGGGAGTGGAGGAAATGGGGAGAGGTGGGTTTAATGGTAGGAGCTCTCAATTAAGAGATGAGTAAATTCTGGGATTGAGTGATTATAGTTAATAGTTATAGCATGGTGATTATAGTTAATGTATTGTGTACTTGAAATTTGTGAAGAAATTAGAATATTAGTACTTTCACCAAAAGAAAAGCAAAACAAACAAAATAACAACAACAACAAAAAAAAAACCCAAAATATTGTTGTTATGGTTTAGGTAATAGGTGTCCCCCAAAGATCATGTGTGAGTCAATGAAAAGGGTTTAGAGGTAAAATGAGTGAGTTATGAGAGCCTTAACCTAATAAATGTGTTAATTTATTGTTAGGGATTAACTGGGTGGTAACTGGAGGAGGTGGGTCACTGGGGGCCTGTCTTTGGGGTTTATGTTTTGTCCTTGTTGAGCAGAGGAGAAACATTCAGCATTTAGTTTTTTGGGATTAGCTTACTTCGCTTAGCATGATATTCTCTAACTCCATCCATTTGCCTTCAAATGCCATAATTTTATTCTCTTTTATTGCTGAGTAATATTCCGTGTGTATATATACCACAGTATCTTTATCCATTCATCTATTGAAGGGCATCTAGCTTGGTTCCACAGTTTGGCTATTATGAATTGTGCTGCTATAAACACTGATGTGGCTGTGTCACTGTAGCATGATTTTTTTAAGTCCTTTGGGTATAGATCAAGGAGTGGGATAGCTGGGTCAAAAGGTGGTTCCATTCCAAGTTTTTAAAGGAATCTCTATTCTACTTTCCAGATTGGTTGCACCAATTTGCAGAGGCCAGCAATTTATGAATGTGTCCCCCCCACCATCCTTCCCAACACTTATTTCTTGTATTGTTGAGAACTGTCATTCTGACTGGAGTGAGATGAAATCTTAGTTTTTATTTGCATTTCTCCAA